TACATTAATCATTTTTCATAGAAAACAATATTTATTGTTTGAAAATCATGTACAATGCACATATAATTATGTCTGCTATACCAAGGAGCAGATTTCAAACAATACATTTTCAGTATATGAGTAGAGCCCCCCCCCCCCCGGTCCCCCCAGGGGCCTTGAAATTCATAAATTCTGAAAGAAGGGCCCCTGCTCAATACAGTTATCTAGGTAGTTCATCTGCTAATTACCCAGGAGCAGAGAAGAAGATTTTCAAAGATTTAGTGTATTTTCACCATATAATTTATCAATAGAGGCCCGCACTACCACCAGAACTCCTAACCCTGGGGCCATAAAATTCACAATTTTGGAAGAGGCACTCTTGTTCATAACTTTGTACTTATTTAGCTTATTTAATACCCAGGAGTAGAGAAGAAAATTTTTAAAGATTTAATGTATTTTCACTATATAATCATATTAGAGCACTGCCCTAACACTAGGCCTGGGGGCCATAAAACGAGCTCACTTTTGATCTCAGTCTCACTTTTTTCCAAAGGAATTATAGTGGAAAAGTGAGACTGAGGTCAAAAGTGAGCTCGTCTAAGCTTTATGACCTCCAGGCCAGAACCCCTGACCCTGGGGCCATAAAATTCACAATTTTGGTAGATGCATTCTTGCTCATCATAACTATGTTCTTAGTTAGTTTATCTAATATCTAGAAGCAGAGAGGAATATTTTCAAAGAATTAATGCATTTTCACTATATAATCCATAGAGCCCCAGCCTACACCAGAAACTCTGACCCTGGGGCCATAAAATTCACAATTTTGGTAGAGGCACTCTTGTTCATCATAACTTATGTACTAACTTAGTTTAATTAGTACCTAGGAGCAGAGAAGAAGATTTTCAAAGAACTAATTCACAATACAATCCATGCAGCCCCACCCTAAGACCAGAACCCTTGACCCTGAGGCCATGAAATTCCAAATTTTAGAAGAGGAAATCTTGCTCATCATAACTATGTACATAGTTGTTTAATTTAATACCCAGGAGCAGGGAAGAAGATTTTCAAAGGAATAATGTATTTTCACTATATAATCTACATGTATATAGCTCCACCCTAGCATTAGAACCCCTGACCCTGGGGCCATGAATTTCACAATTGTGGTAGAGAGTTACTAGTAATGCTAATTACATTCATGACATCAGTTTGACTGCTTGATGTCCAGAAGTAAAGAAGAAGATTTTTAAAGATTTAATTAATTTTAGTGGTTTTTGCCCCACCCCTCAGGCCCCAGGGGGCGGGGACCATAAAATTCACAATTTTTGTTCCCCGGCACCCAAAGATGTTGTATAACAAATTTGGTTGAAATTGGTTTAGGGGTTTTAGAGAAGAAGCTGAAAATATTCAAATGTTAACACACGACGCACGAAGACGGACGAAAACGTATAGCAATAGGTCACCTGAGTGACTCAGGTGACCTAAAATATGTTTCTTACTTCTCCTGTAGCTAGTTCAGTGAATGTTGCTCTCGGGAAGACTGTATACTCGTCAACTGGATATGGCCTTATAACAACCGCCCCCAAACCATGGTTTCTAGTCGACTTAGGACAGGCCTACGAGATAACTGAAATAACGACATACAGAATTCACAGTAACGCTTACGAATATAATATTTCTAATGATTAATCATCATCAAATATTTTTAATCATTGTTCTGAGTTTTTGTATATTTTGGCGTTTAGAAATTATATACACCAGTAAAGATTGTTTTACACACGTGCAGGCATATATTCAATATGTTTAATCGGATTTTGTTGGGGAAACCTTTTGTTATTGCTGAATACATTGAAAATTATCTTTTTCGGAACTAAATTAAATGTGTCGTTTTTAGATAATTAAATAATTGTTTTTAATTAATTTTTAAACTTTAGGACTTCAAACACGAAGGTTTTATTGAATATAATTTAATTGACATTGTAGAATCCAAATTTATATTTAGATAAAAGAAATTATGCAAATATTTAGTCTATAGGTCCAGCCAAATCGTCTCAAAGGCTTACTGTCGAGACTCTAACACAGGGCCAAAATACAACTCTTGTGAATATTGCTCTTCACTGAAAGCTTAATGTGGATGCGTGTTGTATCAATTCCAATAACTATTTCTGCAATTAATAGACCAAATATATAATTTCTGGATCAGTAAAAAAATAATGTTAGTATATTTTCTTATTTTGAACAGCTTCAGCCACCTGTGTTAACTTTGACGTCAGAACTGGAATAACAACAAACGTTTCTGAGATGGTATTCTGTAATTACGGCAGTCAGGTCCACGACGTAACAATTGATTGTACCCGGTGCCTGGTGGGGCAATTCATACAACTACAGATTAATGCTTATGATAATACCAATTGTCACTTTCATTTACTAGGTAAACTTGAGGTCTTTGCACATGCTCATGTTTTTTGAGATTTTAGGATTTATGTATCGTATTTGGTTTTGCATGTTAAAACATTTATGAGATGTTGTTTTTTTTTTAATGTTTTGCACGATGTTTTCAAACAGTCGATGTCTCTCCTCTTATCCTCAAAAATTATGAATATTCAGTTTGTTTTTGTTTTAAAAATTCAATATATTGTTCACTTTGTGTCTTTTGAAAACAATAAAGCAGAATAAGTTTTTGAAGTTGATCTTAGATATTTATGCATGAAACGTATGTTTTTGAGACACAATATTCAAATGAATAGTAATGCTAACTAAAAGATAAATTTCGATTGACATATACATGTACATGTATTTTGCAACGGTGAATTCCCGTTGTCCGCCATTATGGTCAATATGGTCGGATTCCTTCATTATTTAACCAATGCAAACTTCTCATAATGGCCATTGTTTTGTTGGGAACTGCGTTTCTTAAGCTTATATAATTGTTAAAGCTTTCCTTTAATTCAGAATTTTTCCATTTTTTGGAACACAAAAGAGACCTAATTTTTCACCCTAGTCTCATTTTCTCCATCAGATACTGTATTCCTTTTGTAAAAGTGAGACTGAGATCAAAAGTGAGCTCATCTACGTTTGATGGCCACGAAGTCAAATGCCACAATAGAAATTGAAATTAAGTGCAAAGAAAACACTATTTACAAGAATAAATAAACAATGAGTATCTTATTTGAAACAGGTTTAATGGGACACAAATGATTTGTTTCAATTACATTCTGATAAGTTTAACCAATTTTTTATTTTGTCGGGTGGTATATGCACTCATTCAAGGTCTATCCATAATAAATATTCATCATGCTTTTCTTTACCATCATATTAAGGTAATTAATTTTGAAGCATAGATTTCCTTGGGAAGTAACCATCAAAGGATTTTTTCATGTCTCAAAACATTTTTGAAAAAAAATGAAGTTTACATGCTATTAAAATCTTTAGATTTTTTTGCTAGAAACTAATATTTTGGGTGATTCAGCGATTCAAAGTTTGAATTTCTCAATATGCATATTTTAATTGCCGTTGTTGCGCGTCATTGCTCTGACCTCATGGATATCTATCATGACCAAGCAAAGTACTAATTGAGTTTACAAAACAGCTTAATTTATTTCGTCATTTAAACCAGTTAAAAATATATAAATGATAGTAATGGATTAGACAGCTTATAGGGTATAATTTGTGGCAACTGGATGTACAGCAATGGTTTAAGGAAGTCTAGAGTTTTAGCTCGTGCACCTAAGCTGAAAGTTTAAGTGAGCGTTTCTGATAACTGAATGTCCGTCGTCGGTCTAGTTGTCCGTCCGTCCGTCTGTAAACTTTTCACCTTTTCAAATTCTCCCAAGAACCACTGAATCAATTTTTAAAAAAGGTACAAAGCATCCTTGGGTGAAGGGAAGTTTAAATTATTAAAATGAAGAGTCATGTCTACTAACTAGGAGTGATAATCAGGAAAAGACAATTAAAAATAGGGTAAAGGTCATAATAAAAATGTTCTTCACAAGAACCACTGCGACACAAAAGCCGAAACATGCGGAAGCATCCACGGGTAGTGTAGAGTCTAAATCGTTCGAATCAGGAACCCCGGGGGCAGGGTGGGGCCACTTTACAGGGGCGTAGCAACCGGGGGGCCAGGGGGGGGGGCTGGCCCCCCACTTTTTTTCCCAACCTTACTTATACTATAGGAAATGTTAATTGAAAGCCTGGCTGGCCCCCTCACATCTAGTGATACACTGAAAATGTAGTATTATAATTGGTACTAAAAGTAGTTGACACTGAGAAAAAGTTAACTTTTTTTTTTTTTGTTGCTTGTCAACTTTTTCAGGTAAGTAAAAATTTTTTTCTCTGGCTGGCCCCCCCATTTTCAAAAACGATGCTACGCCACTGTTTTAAAGAACCCAAGTTTTACAGTGAAATATATAGGAAAACATTCTTTTAAAAATCTTTTCAAGAACCCCAGCCGACCGCTCACACCCGCCGTGTGCTCTTTGTCATAATCGGGAAATAACGGGAAAATACGTCGCCAATCCAATGTCTAAATAATAATAATAGCATAACAATTGGTATGAAAAACGCCAGTCAGCATTTTACTCAATGATAAATTGTTTTTGGCAAAATGATGACTTAAACGAGACTGTTGATACTCTGTTTCATCTGCTTGTTTGCCAATAATTGACCTCGTTTTAGAAATTGTACATTCTAAGAGAGCATCCTCTTGCATATCGAATGAACTATAAGAGATATTATTCCCGTATGCAGCTGATAAAGCTAGGTATACTGTAGTAAGAGAAGCTGACGATTGAAAAGTAATCACGTTTATCATAAAGCTTGGTTTTTATATTACCATTAATTTATGAATTAATTCGCTTTGTGTTTATGATTGAGGAACAATGTTCATTCTTGCCCCTGTTACAATTTTATAATGTCACTGTTAGTGATCAGTCTAAAATCCGGTCAGAATGACTCCCATAACTTTCATTCTGCACGTCAACTTACCTTTTAAATTGCTACATTTAGCTTAACCATGCGTGACATAAAAACAACTTGGAGAATGAGGAAGTTTATTCATGTAAATGAAAATGAGGAATCTTCGTTACATTTTGAATTTATTTGGTTACGTTGTGGGTACGTAAATATTGAAGAAAAAAACCATTAAGTGTCTATATCAATTATGCGCGTTTTTTATTAATAGTGTAACTCGATGTTGGTAGAGTGAAAAGTGTGTAAACTGAAAGTAATTTTCTGTACATTAACGGAAATCCATGCATTTCTTCTGCTCTGTTGTGAAAATTAAAAAATTGATAAGTTCTGTTTCTTCCCACTTGCACAATATCTATACAATGATTGTGCAGATGCCAGTAAAGAGAAAACAATAGAAAATCATGTCAAAAAATATACATAGGTTAATATCTTAACAATTTGCTTTATATACTGTTAAAGAAATGAAGTTTTACCATACATACATGTATCGACATGTTTTGATAATTCTACGCACCTTTTAAGCTCATATGGTTTTCCGCACAAATTAAGGTCACATTCTTCTAGTCTCTGCTTACATTATTTATTCATATAATATATATTTAATTCTGCTAGACGTGGTAATCCAACTTATACATAAAGATCCCTTTCTAAGGAAGATATTCTTCAAAATCATATGCCAGTTTTGAAAATGTTTGATATCACTAAGAACAAAAATGAATTTGGACTATCATATATATATATTGGATTTCGTAACTTCATAAGAATCCTTACAAACAAAGATACATAGCGGGTTCAAGTAAATGTTCAACCAAGCCTCTTTCTTTACTCCTCACTTAGATATTAACAGTAGTGTAGGAGAAACTTCAAGAGTACTGCATGTGCAACAATATATTCGAGAAATGGTGTAAATCTAACTTTTGGACAATATGAAGATTTTACCAAAACAAACAGCTTAAAAACGTACGACTTTTCAACTTTATAGACAACCATTCCCCACGATAAATTAACGTCCAGTCGTTTTGATACAGAGTTTCATTGATGGCTGCTTTTTTTCAATGAAAATGGAACTCGTAAATTTACTTACCTTGTCATGGGTCATTTGCAAAATTATTTTGTTAAAAAACATTCTGATTGTACACAAAAGTACTCTGAAGTTGACATCAAAAAAGACAAACGATTAAGTTTCTGATTGACAATATCTATGTGGTTTTTGGAGTTCAGGTCTTCCAACAATCTACTCGTATTACAATTCCTTTTGGGTACCAATTGCGCCCCTTATTAGCAGATCTATTTTTTATTCATATGAATCAGAATTTGTCCAAAATCTTATGGTGAAAAGAGAAAACATTTGCTGTTGCCTTCAACTCAACATTTACATACATCTACGACGTCGTATTGTCAATTAACAATGGTAATTTCCATTCTATAATGTCGATACAATGTATCTTGGTGAGATTGAGATGAAAGATACCACAGAGTCTGACACATCTCCTTCATGTTTGGATATTTTGCTTGGAAAAGGCCTTAATGGTAATCTACCTTCGAAGCTCTACGATAACCTTGACGACTTTAACTTTTCTATTGTCAACTTCCCTTACTTACATGTATGCAACAATATACCTTTATCACTGCATACGGAATTTATTAATTTCACGTTGATTCGATACGCAAGAACATGCTTTACGTATGAACAATTTCTTAACCGAGGCATCTTATTGACAAACAAGTTGATGAAACAAGAATATCAGCAGTTTCTTTTAAAGTCATCATTTCGTAAGTTGTATGATAAATACAATGAATTTGTAAGCAAATACAATTTATCATTGAGTCAGTGGATGACTGACTATTTCATACTTATTGTTAGCCCATCATTCATACACTGAATTGATGACAGATTTTTCCGTTGTTTCCCGATCATAACAAGGAGCACACGGCGGGTGTGACCGGTCGGCAGGGGATGCTCACTCCTCCATGGCACCTGATCCCACCTCTGATGTTTTGGGGGTCCGTGTTTGCTCTGCTCCTATTTTGTATTGTTTTATGGACTTCTGATCTGGAATACTGTTCGTTATCGCCATGTTTTATTTAGTAGGTAAAAATGTAAAAAAAAAAAAAAAAAAAAAAAAAAACCGGTTTTTAACATTGAAAACAGAAGAGCAGATGAGATAACAAGCTGTTTTCATCTTGTGCTTTGGGGACACGTTAATGTATAGAAAAGACAGAAGTAACATGAGCTGCATTTTTCTGTGTCTAGTCAAGGTAAAGGACTGCTTTCAAATTAACAGATACAAGATGACAGCGTTTGACGAGAAACCATGAAAACCATTAAGAGCACATCAAAATATTTTCAATTATTATTTGTGAATAATGTTTTAATTAGTGAAATGAAATTCAAATTAAGTTAAACAATCACTTTTAATATATATATACAGTAAAACACGGTTATAGCGAAGTCCTGGGGACCTGTTCATTTAATTCGCTATATCCGTAATTCGCTATATCCGTATAACGAATTCGTATAACCATACATAGCGAATTCGCAATATGCATGTTTTCCTTCAAAAGTTACTACAAAATATGTTAGGGTAGCAAATATTACAAAACATACTTTCGATAACTAAGGTTTTATTATGAATTGAATTTTATATTCAAATGCTGAGAGAAAATAAAGTCAGTTCAATTATTCAAATTTTGAAATCTTTGAAAGTTCGTTATAAAAGATGTAAAATTCATTATATTTAACATCAGCGACTCAAAATCAGTTCGCTATATCCGTAAATGCGTTATATCAGAGTTCGCTATATCCGTAATTCGCTATATCCGTATCACGAATTCGTATAAGCATATATAGCGAATTCACAATATGCATGTTTTCCTTCAAAAGTTACTATCAAATATGTTAGGGAAGCAAATATTACAAAACATACCTTCGATAACTAAGGTTTTATTATGAATTGAATTTTATATTCAAATGCTAGAGAAAATAAAGTCAGTTCAATTATTCAAATTTTGAAATCTTTGAAAGTTCGTTATAAAAGATGTAAAATTCATTATATTTAACCTCAGCGGGACTCAAAATCAGTTCGCTATATCCGTAAATTCGTTATAACCGTAAAATTTTACAAAGATTTGTTAAGAATTTTGCCGGGGACAATTTCGTTATATCCGTGAATTCGCTATATCCGTGTTCGTAAACGTGTTTTACTGTATATATATATATATATATATATATATATATATATTTCTGCCTCATTACACGATTTCTTATTTAAACAATGTGACAAAATATTTTGCGAAAAACCATGCGAGTTTTAAAAGTGCACGGACCTGTAGTATTTTATAGGTATCGGATAACTGATCAGCTTATGGAAATGGATATCCTCATTTTAAAATTTCGAGAGAAAAAATTTCTTATCAAGTATTTTTCTCCTAATCGTGTGCAAGTAAGACTGGCATTTTTATTTGAAATACATAATATTTACACAGACATACATCAACGAATCACTTTTTAATTTTTAATTTTTAATCAATATAAAAAGTGCATGGAATATGTAACGGACTATTCAAATTTCATCTTGATTTTTACAGGATTAATCACCGTAGAAGCTCAGTACTATAATAGATACTATTCCTACTACAGATATACGTCTAACTCTACATCTGCTAGTACTACTAGTACTCAAAATTACAATACGTAAGTACAATAAATAAATCAAAAAGTAATAATATAGCTATATCAACTTAATTTCCTTCCCTTTAATGTACATTTCTATATGCAATTGTAAATGATTAAGCGCCCTTTCATTTGTCTTAGGAAAAGGGTGCATAGATATTTTAAGGAAAATCCTTTTCCATCATAATAAATATTTATCTCTTTCCATTTTAAAGTATTACTTATCAACGTATATGTGTGGAAATCAGGTCACTCTTTTAGCTTGTGAGGTTTTCAAAAATTCTGGAGAACGATGAGACATTGATTCGTATCCTGTTGATGATCATAGTGTTATTTTTTAATCAAATTTTATGCCCCCGTAAACGAAGTTTCGGGGTATATAGTTTTTGTCGTGCCCGTCCGTCCGTCAGTCTGTCTAGCTGTCTATCTGTCTGTCTGTTTGTCTGCAAAAACTTTAACCTTACCCTTAACGTTTGATTTAATGGAGCTATGACTTTCATATTTAAGATGTGTATTCCTTGTGACAAGACCTTTTTTGGGTACCACAAAATTTTACCTTTTGACCTTGACCTAGGAGTTTGACCCACTTTTACACAAAAATTCAAAACTTTTACTATGGCCATATATTTTGAACAGTAGTAACCAGGACATTTATACTTCACATATGTATCCTTTGTGGCAAGATCTTTCATTGGATGCCACCAACCTTGACATTTTGACCTTGGAGATTTCCGTACTTATGAAAAAATTTTAACCTTGGCAATAACTTGTGAACGGTTAAGGCTAGAGCTTTTACACTTCACATACGTAATCCGTGTAAGAAGACCTCTCATTGGATACCACGAACTTTGACCCTTTGACCTTGACCTTGTAGTTTGACCGTCTTTAAAAAAACAAATCTTGACCATATCTTTTAAAGAGTTACAGCTAGTGCTTTCATACTTTATTTATATAATCCCTGTGAAAAGACAGTTCATTTGATATCAGGACCTTTAAAGAGGCTGGGGGTGGCAGCCATTTTTAGACTATTTCTATCTCCTTTAAAAGAAAAGCTCCATATAAATATACACAATAATGATCAAATTTTAAAACTAAAATGTATGAATTTTTTCTTTGCCAAATCATAGTTGACAGCTTCAGATACCGTATCTAAAAAATAAGTCAAATCTGATGGTTAATTTGTGATTAATTTGTTGACCCCCCAGCCTCCTTAATTTGACTCTTTGACCTTTACCTTGTAGTTTGGCCTAATTTTCAAAATGTTTAACCTTGGCCACAACTTTTGAATGGTTAGGGCTAGGGCTTCCATACTTTACATATGTATTCTTTGTGGCAAGACAGTTTATTGGATACCAATAACCTTGACATTTTGACCTTGACCTTAGATTTTTGAAAGGTAAGGGCTAGGACTTTCATACTTCACATATGTAATTCTTTTGACACGACCTTTCATTGGATACCAATAACCTTGACCTTCTGACCTTGAACTTGAAGATTTCTGTACTTATGAAAAACTTTAACCTGGCCATAACTCGGGTACAGACGGTGATAGGGTTTTCATATTTCACAATTGTATTTCCATTTAGAGGACCCTACTTTGGGTACCAATATATAAAATTTGCATTCAAGAAAAGTTTAAACTTCACTATGTTGCCATACGGGGGCATAAGTGTTTCACAAACACATCTTGTCGTTAATAATTCGACTCGTATTCTGATTACGAACGTATTGTATTCTCAAGTTATTTTTCTAGATTTTCTTACCGATCAGGTATCTCGTGCAACAATCGTACATAATTTTCGATTGATAAATGAGAAAAAATACAAAATAAATTCTTAAACTTTAAAAAATGGTTTCCTCTCTAAATCTATAAACTCAGATAGTCAGACTCTTGCATTTCCAATGTTTTTCTAGGCGGTCAAAAAAAACACAGAGAGAGATCGTTGGACCGTTGTTTTAGATATTGTACCCCTTTGATCTTTTTCATGGCAAACTGTCGACGAGTCCAAGATATATACAAACTAAAAAGTAAGGTATATACATGTAAAACAAGTAAAACATTTAAAGACTTTTTCGACAACAAAAACTTGTTTTCTTTTGCTTTTCAACCCCTAAAGACCAAGGCAAACAGCATACAGACGTAAATATTCAAGTGTGATCAAGCAGCCACGGGTAGGAGATAGCTATAAGCGGACTCCGAACCGTGGCTTGAGACGATAAGCAAATGCAGTCCCCCAAAATTTAGACGTGGGATCAGGTGCTGTGGAGGAGTAAGCATTCCCTGTCGTATGGTCTCGCCCGCCGTGTATACCTTGTCATGATCGGCACAAACAGAAAATTCCGTACACAATTCAGTGTATCAATTACAATTAGAATGAAAAACGTTAGTTAGCGTTTGTCTAAATGATAGGTTGTATTTTTTGACAAGGAGAAATAATTACTTTTAACGAAACTTTTGATATCCTTGTTTCATTAACTTGTTTGTCAATAGCTTGCAATTGCCTCGTTTTAGAAATTGTTTATACGTAGAGCATGCTCCTGCGTATCGAATTAACCCATATATGCAAGTGAAAAATAATTCAGGTTATTCTTTGATTTTCTTTCGATATCAGAAATTTTTATTTCTTACTCAAGGTAACTTTACTTACTGATAAATCAATTTCGTAATTAGTTAATTTTATAGTTTTTTAAAAAGACCTTTAAGAGTTTTGATTTTTTTATTTAAAAAAAGATCAAAGAAAACGACATATCAAACAGAATTTGTTCAAAATCTTTTACGTGAAAATAAGAAAATACTTGCTCTGACCTTCAACTCGACAATAAGATATATCGACTACGTTTTGTCAATTAACAATAGTTATTTCCATTCTTATGTCGACATCATATATCCCGATGAGCTTGAAATAAAAGAAACCACAGAGTCTGACACATCTGTGAAATGTTTAGATATTTTTCTAGAAAAATACAATATAATGGTGATCTATCAACAAAGCTTTGCGATAAACGTGATGACTTTTACTTTTAAATCGTCGACTCCCTTACTTTTGCAGCAATATACCTTTGTCACTTACATACGGAATTAATGAATCTCAGTTGATTCAATACGCATGAGCAAGCATATTTTTCGTATATACAATTTCTATAAACAGGTAAATTATTGACAAACAAGATGATGAAGCAAGAATATCAGCAGTCTCCTTTAAAGCCATCATTTCGTTAGTTCTATGGTCGATATATAATGACCTTTTCAGCGAATACAACTTATCATGCTGACTGGGTTGTCCATGGATTTTTTCGTTATTTCCCGATCATGACAAAGAGCACACGGCTGGTGGGACAGGTTGGCAGGGATGTTCACTCATTTATAGCACCTGATCCCACCTCTGCTCCTACTTTCTAATGTTTAATGGACTTTTGAGCTCAAATACTGTACGTTATCACATATTTCACTTAAAATTTCTCTCTAATGGTCGCACGTATTAATACTTTTCATTCTTTTTTTCACCCATAGACTACTTTACATCGGAGCTATCGTAGGGGTTTTAGTTTGTGTTGTTGCTATAGTGATTATAGTTGTTACCTGCATGTGTTGTCGACGAAAGCAAAGAACAGCGGGCACTGTTATCCACTCAACATCAAATCCTACCAATGTGGTATTTAGCACCTGTAAGTTCTCTCTCTCTCTCTCTCTCTCTCTCTCTCTCTCTCTCTCTCTCTCTCTCTCTCTCTCTCACCCATACCCTCACTCTCACACAGGTCTACATACATACCGGTACATCAATTTACACTGGCATTATGTTTAATAATTAAAATTAATCTGATATTTATTCTTTAGCACAGGTTCCGTCCCATTCTTCTTCCGAAGCATTAAATTCCCAACAGCAATTTCATCAGCGTACAGGTATGTTAAAGTATATCATTTGTTTTCTGTTTTTTGGAAGTTCATATTTTCAGTAAATTTTATGGCAAACTTAAAAAAAAATTCCTGTGATATTTTAGGAATTTCACCCCCACCATACCACAACGATTCCTTACCCCCGCCATACTCTGACGGTGAGTCAAAATAACAAAATTCTTAGAATATATATCGAATTTCTTTCAACTCTCTCTCTCTCTCTCTCCAAATAGACATTTCATGAGAGTGATGTTCTATTTTTCCCTGATCTTTAAGTTACATAATCTTTAAATAATTCATTTAACAGGAAATTTGTCATCATCCCCATATACTAATGAGCCCTTACCTCCGCTATACTCTAAGGGTGAGTCAAAATACTTGTATCCTTGACTGCAATGCTACAATCATAACTAATATTCAAATGTAATGAAATGCCTATTTTCACAATTTTTTTTATAATGTAAGATATGTAATGAATTGTTTTGCACAGATCCTCCGCAAGAGATATTAAATAGGACCACTCCATCTGCTCCATCTTTACATGATTTGGACAAGTAGAAGATATATGCATGTACATTGTATATTGTACTGGATCCTTGACTTTAAGCCTTTTGTTGCTCGATTGCAAATGGTTATCCCGCTGTATTCAAGCAGTTGTGAAGACCAGCAAAATATGATTTCATTATAATGACATGAATGATGCAATTAAACTTTAAAAATATTTTTTTTTTTGCAAGTGTTTTATATATATCAAGAAAAGTTCATTATTCTGGTACTTTTATACATTTCGAGTGGTCACCTCTTTGCTGTAAAACAGAAAAAAACGTATTTCTGCAGTAATTATCACAATTTTAAAAAGATTAAAGTATTCTTGATATTGCATGTTATCTAGTAATTGAAATCATTACTTACATGGGTTGTTTTTTTTCAAAATGAACCATGAAATGTCCAACTTTAAGCTACTGGTATATTATATAAAACGTATTTCTGCAGTAATTATCACAATTTTAAAAAGATTAAAGTGCTCTTGATATTACATGTTATCAAGTAATTGAAATCATTACTTACATGGGTTTTTTTTTTCAAAATGAACCGTGAAATGTCCAATTTTAAGCTACTGGTATATTATATATTACATGTATGTGTTTTCTTTAACTCATATGGAGATGCCACCACTTAACGGGGGAAGATTTCAAATTTATACATGTCCCTATATTCACCAGGACCGTTGAGAAGTGGGGGTCTGCGGGACCTCGGATTATACTGTTTCATAGGCAGAACCGCACGCAGTCTTTGCGTCCCACACTGAAGTCGAAACCGTGACGTTCCTTACTCAGCGACTCTAGAGAGAACGCGTTAAGTCTTCCCCACGGAAGCAATCCTTTAGAAATGAAACGTGGAGATAACCAACAGTGTTCAAACTCATTAGACCATTTAAACAATACAAACCAAGAGTGGGCATCTAAAACATGAGAGGTGGGATCAGGTGACGTGAAAGAGTAAGCATATATCCCCTTCTTGGATCATACTCAACGTGTGCTTCTTGTCTTTATAGTGAAAAAACAGAAAAAAATATGTAGATAATAATGGTCTCACAATTGGAAAAGTTAGTCAGCATTCGACTTAATTTTATTACAATTGTCATTGCATCGACCTTAGAACGAAATGTTGACTAAACGAGACTGTTGATATCCTTGATTTATCAACTGATTTGTTAATAGTTTGCCTTGTTTTAGATTGTAGAGCATGCTTTTGTTTTTAGAATCAAGTAGAATACATAAATCCTACATGCAGGTGATAAGGGTACATACTGCTACATGTACACTAGTTGGCGATACCTACATGTACACCACGTTTATCAAAAAGTTTTGTTTTTAATTTTTTATCATTAACGTCTTTTTTCTTGTTAAATATCCAAGTAAGAAACAGATGAGTGTGTTATACTCTGTGGTTTATTTCAAGTTAACTGGAATATATATCAAGTCGACATGTGAATGGAAGAAATTATTGTATTCATTACACATTTTCATAGTCACATGTATATCTAAATTTCAATTTGAAGGCCACAGTAATTGTTTACCTTTTTTCCTTGTATAAATTCTTTAAATAAATTCTGCTTGATATCAATACTAAAAATTGAACCTCTAATAACGGGGCGAAATTGGTACCTACGGGAATTCCGACAGATTGTTTGAATACATTATATTCTTTTTTTTATTATAATTTTCTTGTTGAAAAAGCAACTGTCTGTGATATCAGAAAGGTAGGACATTCATTATTCTTCTGGAAGGTTGTGTAACGTGTTGAAAGTTGTAGATTTATTGTTACTAATTTTGCTAAAATTTTATGATTTAGAGATTTCTAAAAGTTCCTTGGATATTTTAAGTATCTAATATCTAATATACACCACTTCTCGAAGATATATACTGTTGTAAAGTACTCCAAAAGTGTTGTTTACATGACTGTATTACTAGTATTTTTAGTTAGGAATAAAGAAGGAAGCTTGGTAGAACATTTACTGGAACCCGCAATTTTTATGAAGTTTAGTAATCCATTATAGGTACATGTAAGTGCACCTCAAATTCAATCTGTTTGTTGGGAATATTTAGTGTTAAAATTATAACTAACAAATGAATTTTGAAGAATTTCTTCCTTATAAAGGAGGCTTTGGGTATAAGTTGGATTTTACCACTTGTAAACTCAAATCCCATGCAGTGCCTTTAAAATAACATTTATATATATTGAGCCTTAAAAATATAGAAAATATTGTTCCCCAATGTGTATTCAAGAAAGGAAGGGGTAATCGTGACTACTAATCTGAAATTACTTTGTTTTTTCTGAGGGACGTTAAAATAACAACAAAGAAACAAACTGAAAAAAATTTTTAAAGTTTTTTTTTTTACTTTCTTTTCGATTACAACCGTTACATGGTAGTTTCAATTTACGACTTTCCAGTTGCAAAAAAATCCTTTCATACCGTATAAATTATTTCAATTATTGGCATTAATTAAAGACATGATTGGTCGGTTTAGTCCTTGTCGATCAATGTAATGTGACACAAGTTCATAAAAGTAAAAGCTATAAATGCTCTCCGGGAGAAGTCGAAGTACCGGCTATATTAAATATGAATTGTCAAACGGAGAGTTAATTGTTTTGAAAGACCTCGGCATGGTTATTATAAATTTGATTGTCCCTGTTATGTGAAATACTTTAATACTGGATTTTTAACATTAGCTGTTTATAAAAAGAACAAAATTAATGCGCCATGAAAACAGCCATGAACATTTATTTTTCGGTATTGAATGCGTTATTTTGTCCTGTTTTAATTTTGTCTGACTGCGGAACCTACAATCAATTTATTTTGAAAACAGAGGAAGGAAAAAGACTCAATGCAACTTTTCATACCGCAAACAAATATGGGAAAAACACATGTATATCACATTGCGTCCGGAACACAGCTTGTAGATCAGTAAATTATAGCAGAAAACTCTTGGTGTGTGAGCTTAATTTTGTGGACGACAATGATTATCCATTGATGCTGAAATCCGACAGCAATTTTCAATATTTTCTTATTGACAAGAAGAACACTACTTCAGAATCTGTAAGTATTTTCTCTCTCTCTCTCTCTCTCTCTCTCTCTCTCTCTCTCTCGATTTGCAATGTTTTTATACTTCTTTTTCCATATAGATGGCTCAACAACCACAATGCCTGAAAGAATACCAGGAATGCTTTATAACACAAATAGGAGCAAGAGCTTGCCTTCCCTTTTACAATATCAAAGCAGGTACATGTACAATTAAACATGCATTAATCCTTGTATACTGAATTGGTTTGAACATATTTTATTGTTAAGATGTTACAACAAAAGGATTGGTCACAAGTACTTAATACTTACAACGTCCTCTCCTTAAACTGAATACTGAACGTGTCTTGATCAGATTGAGTCTTAACCAAATCGTATGGACAATACAAAACTTGATGTCCATATAATGCCAAATCATGCTTTAACTTGGGAGACATCTTTGATTTGATAAACATTTTGATGGGAGTTTCCTAGCAAAAACGTAAATAAATTACAAATACATGCATGCATATCCAGAAATTTCATTAATGACGTGAACTTTACAAAACTTAAATCAATATTTGTAAACAATTAATTATTTTTCATTATTAAATCTTTGAACAGAATATACACTGTACATGTATATGTAACACTTGCTTATTCATGACTGTGTACATTGTATTAACATTACAAATTTCCTAATTTCTATATTAAAAAGGGTCATTTTTCAGCCAGTTCTGTGAATGCTGCACTTGGGAAGACTGTTTATTCGTCCTCTGGTTCTGATACCAGTTATGTAACTAACGGACAAAAAACGTTAGAGGGGAGTGAAACAGATCACGCGAGACCATGGTTCATACTCGACTTAGGACGAGTGTACGAGATAAACCAGATAAAGACGTACAAATATCATGGTAAGGCCAAAATAAAATTATAGTTTGTTTGGAATTGCCTCCCGCCTCATTGAAATGCCCCCCTCCTGAAAAAATTTTATTGACCAAAAGTAGGAAGATTTTATTTATTTAATCAATTTTTTTTGCCCATTACATGTATCACATGCACCATACAAAACACTGAAATATAGTGTCAGATCTATGTAAAATTAGGTATTTTTGTTCTGAGATTTTTATCAAAAATTTATAATTTTTCTTCAATTAAGAAAAAATAATTTCCCTCCCTCCCTCCCTCCCTCCTGTGTCTGAAACCCTCCAGGCGGCAATTCCAAACAAACAATTTTTTAAGGATGGCCTAAATGATTAAAATGTTTTAATTTTATATGTTCATCATAATCCAGAAATTACTGTACAAGTACTTTTTTCCGCGTTGTATTAATTTACGTTATGTACGTGGTCACAAATTTTCCGCCTAAATTTGTCTCATCGAACTTAATATAAATATAAGGCATCTTATGTTTTAAAAGTCTTAAGAGTCTTAATTTTAGTTTTTCTTTTTAAGATATGAGATGATTTACGGTACACATATACACATACGTAAAGCTATCTGCAATAATGTAGCCCTCTCCCTTTTTTTTTTGGGGGGGGGGGGGGGGGAGGGGCTACAATTCCTTAGGATCTCCAATGGTGCAAAGCGGGAGCGATTCACTCCCGCACGGATTTCGGCTCAAATTATCAGTAAACGGCTATTTAATTAACATGTCTTGCCCGGACTTCCAAAATGTATGAGGGCTGTTCAATAAATAATGTCCTCGGTGCTCAGTAAGAAGCAAAAAACGTTTAATAATTTAACTTCATATTCTCTTTCAATTAAAACTGATATCGATAAAAAAATTTATCCAACTTCTGATTGTTTTCAGAACTCATTTTTGGGTATGACCCTAGTACATGTATACTGGAAAATGGCAGATCTTATGATTTCCTGGACTAGTTTCTTTGTTCTGAAAGATGTTTTTTTTCAAGTTTGGAAAATGAAACAAATCAAAAGGCGGAAGATCTGGCGAATATTGTTAGTGTGAAAAAAATCACTTTCTTTTTATCCCAAAAATACCAAATAGAATAACTACAATTTTTCATTTTTTAAAATAATTGTTTAGATATTCTTACACGCTGTCGTTTTCACTCATTTTTCAAAACATAGGGTGACTTTTGAGTACTAAGCTTTTTTACTGTCAAACTACTCCCGAAATGATGTCTATAATTTTTGTTTGCAAGGACAGTACCCATTTTTGATGCCCATTATATAATTTGTTATCATTTAAATCCACCTGCTCATTTGTCTGTAAGACAGACATTGGTTGCCTTAAATGTTACATATTTCAGTGAATATTTCATTGGGATTCTTAACGAATTTTACAGCAGCTTGAATGAAGCGTTTAATTTCACTCTAGTTTATTGATTCTTTAACATTCATATTACATGCAGTGTCTCGAATAGCCCTTGTTTTCCAGCTTCTCACAATGAAACTATTTGATGAAAAGTGGTCACATAAATTGTTATAAAATAATAAATTCATTAAAAATTCAATAATGCGAAAAAGTCAAGCTTAATGTCATATGATATCTGTATTGTATGTCATACAGTTCAGGACATTATTTACTGAACAGTCCTTGTAGTTATCCAAGACATTTTTCGATCCAAAAATACACAGAACAATCCATATATCGGTTATTTTTTGTGTATGTCAACACCACAACTTAAATTTATCAGCCATGTTTACTGACCTTAACAGATTTTATTTTAAGACAGCCAATGAGATTAAGGATCTATAGGGAGCGGATTTCATTGGAAATACCTTATTTTAAGCCTAAATATCGCTGTTTACGTAGAAATAACACATGGAATGGTTTTACTTATCAATGTTTACTGATACTATTCATCACAATTATTTATAAACACCGACACGTACCTGCTTTATTGAGTTATTCTAAATTTCAAGTGCAAGTCTTAGTACGTCACGCTTGAACTGTCATGGCGGCTGAGTAGAAGCAATATACAATTATTGCTGTTTTTTGAGGTCAATACAATGATTTAGCCATCTGAGGAGTACAATATTCACCGAGCCCGAAGGGCGAGATGAATATTGTACTTCGAAGATGGCTAAATCATTGTATTGACCCTCAAAAAACAGCAACAATTGTTTTATTATATGATTCACCGATAAAATGATACAGCTCATTACTTGTTTGCATTTAATGAAGTCTTAGCCATTTAGAAGAAAGAAGCAGAATTAAACTATAAATAAACCTTACCAGTCGTATCAATTTGAATATTTTTTTTATCTATTTTAGTTGCCATGAAAGAAGATATAATGTCACTCTTTTTATAGGATAGACTTTGAAAGGAATGAGTATTATGAGGGAAAACTGACAGCCGAGAAAAAGTAAAAATTGTTGTTCAGTTAATTTTGGGTGGGGGGGGGGGGGGGTGTCCTTGCATCCCCTTTCACCACCCTTACCCAAAGCTATACAATCGCTTATGTTTTTCAAAACAATTTGTATCAATTTGGAATTTCCTGATCTATTTTTAGATCAATGTAGTGGAAATAAATCCTTGTATTCACCTGGAACGTCACGTGCAGGTCAATACAACGTAGTATTTTTCTAACATAGTTGGATCTCAGCCAATCAGAGAGATGGAAATTATTTAATCATATAATAACAGGTATTATTTTCTACTTCACTCTGTTCATCCGCAAATAAAACATTTCTTTTCTAATCCATAATAAAATTCAAGAACATTTTATACTTTACAATGTTTATTAGATATGAGTCGTGTACTCAACTCGATTAACATAATAGTTCTCGTAATCTTCCCTCCGATTTACAATATTCAAGTATTTGAATAAAGTCTTCTTGGTCTCTCCGCATTATAAAATTATTTCTCTTTAATATCGATATACATGAAAAGTATTGTTACAAATTTAGTTACCTATAATATAAAATGCAATCGTTTTATGCCCTTAGAATTTCTTTAAAACAAACTGTACTGCAAAATCTGGACATTCAAAAACTGCAATAGAAAACATATTGTAAACGACTTAAAAATAAATTCCCCTGAACAAAAAATTGTGTTCGACATCAATATTCATGGTATTATTTGCTATTTATAGCTGAGTACAAACTCGAATGACCAAAACGGCCTGAGACGGTATTTAAATACCTTGACCAAATCACACAAAAATAAATGCGCAAAACTTTACGCTTAACATAAGCAATATTATGAAAACGAAAAGAAATTTAAACACTCAGATTTATTAAATGGTTTTGGCGTTAAACGGGCTATGTTGTCGACAGTGAATAAAAATCTCTTCTTATTAGAATATCAGATAAAAAAAAAAGACCGGAGAGGGCTACATTATTGCAGCCAAGGTAAAGCGGTTACATGTATAAAGACAACAAAGAACACATTTTACTAACATTTCATTGTTTCATTAAGGAAGCTCTAAATACTAACAGAAACTGGTTTTTTGGACTCAGAGAAAAATATATCATATAAAGATTTGCATATTGAGACTTTTTCATTCACTTAGAATATAGGGTACGTGCCTTATTTGCGCAGGAAAAAATTTCAAAGACAATAGACTATTTGTGAGCAGAAATCACTGTTGTTTACTTACATAGGGAAAATATATGAAAATGATGAATTAAATTTCGTACTCTTGGTCTTATATAATGCTAAAAATATTTAAATCTATCATAAATTATGTAATTAACGGTAAATACCAATTTCTTTAATCTTACATCAAAGGGCAGATCACTCTAACTGCATAAAACTATCCAATAAATAGAGCTCTTAAGTGTGCAGTGTTTAGAGCGTCCTTAAATAAACATTATTAACATGAAATATATGGAGATAACGTACAGTATTCAAGCTCTTAAAAAAATCAGAGGTGGGATCAGGTGCCATGGAGGAGTGAGCATCCCCTGCCCGCCGTGTGCTCCTTTTCATGATCGGTAAATGATGGAAAATCCTTCGTCAATTCAGTGTGAAAATAATGGACTGGCAATTAGTATGAAGTCAGCATTTGACTCAGTAAAAATTGTACTTGCTGAAAAGGTCATTGTATCGACCATAAAACTTACGAAATGATGACTTAAAACGAGACTGCTGATATTCTTGTTTCGTCAATTTGTTTGTCAATTATATACCTCGTTTTAGAAATTGTTCTTGCGTATAATATGCTCTTGCGTATCGAATCTACTGAGATATATACATAACGTACGCAGGTGATGAAGATATATTGCTGCATAAGTAAGAGGGGTTGACGATTGAAAAGTTAAAGTAATCACGTTTATCATAGAGATTGTTTGCTAGACTACCATTAACGTCCTTTTCAAGTTAAATATTCAAATATGAAACAGATGTGTCAGACTCTGTGGTATCTGTAATCTCAAGCTCACCAGGATATATCATACCGACAAAAGAATTGAAATAACCATAATTTTGTTAATGGACAATACCGCGTCGATACATGTATATCTAAATGTCGAGTTGAAGACCACAGCAAGTGTTTTCTTCTTTTCAGGTATGAGATTTTGGACAAATGCTGCTATGTGAATACAATTATAGGTCTACTAATAACGGGATGTAATTTGTACCCATGGGAATTCCATTTTATATTGTTGGAAGACCTGGTCTCTTAAACCCACATAGATATTGTCAATCAAAAACTCGTGCATTTTTTATGTCAACTTCAGAGTACTTGTGTGTATAATCACAATAGATGTTAGATCGTTAGAGTATCAAATATCTTTAGGAATGTAATTAAGATCAAAATATATGACATCAAACTTTGCTCTTTTCAAAATTTGAATTGTCTCGTAACAATGCTAATCAGCTTTTTGCACAATTGTTCGTTTGAATTACTATTTGGATCAATAATCATCATACAAATTTTCTTATTTTGAACAGATTCAGCCACATGTGTTAACTTTGACGTCAGAATAGGATTAACAACAAACGTTTCTGAGATGGCATACTGTAACTCCGGCAGTCAGATCCAGAATGTAATAATTGTTTGTCCCCGGTGCCTGGTGGGACAATTTATACAACTACAGATGAATGCATATGATAACACAAATTGTCACTTTCATATCAGTGAACTTGAGGTCTTTGCGCATGCTCATAATTTTTGAGATTACATGTATATATCATATTTGAAATGTATTTGGTTACAAATTCGACGGTTAACAGGATTTTTAAAAAATTAATGACTCTTGTTTCATCCTCAAAGATTATAAATATTAAAGTTTATAAAATATTAATTTCATGCATTTGCATTCAACTTTATAATCGATGGTTCACTTTTTTCCTTTGAAAATATTAAAGGGATGTTATTGATTTTGCATATCTATACTCGAAATGAAAAGATAAAGCTTAACAACTGATTTTCAAAATATTTTCGATAGACCTGAGTTTTGCAAGGGCAATATCCCATCGGCCGCCATAGGTTACTGAAATAGAGTTCTACAAATGGTCAGATTCCTTCCCTATGTTTCTAAATTAAAATTAATTTTAATACTGGCGATTGTCTTGTATACAAAACTGCCTCTCTTGATGACAGTTGGCAAAGTAAATGTTTTCTTAGCTTTAATGCCATATTTACACGTATGTTGTAGAACAGCTTTTTCAGAGATTTATTAATACGAATTTTTTTTTTAAATATTATATGTAAAGCTACTGCAGTAGACCAAATGTTGTAAAGTTTTATGAACTAATGGCAAATTCAAATATGTTAAACCTTAAAGAAAACTTTATACATTTATTTCAAATATCTTTGAGACTGTTTGTCCTTTTTAATTGTTTTTTCTTTGCATTGAATACATATATTCTGTTATTAACATATGTTTATCATCTCTACATGCAGTTGTAAAATATTTATACGTATGTTACAGTAAATATATGAAATCAGGAATTTCATGTATTTCCTGAATTTTAGGAAATACGTGAAATTTCTATTCTGCTTAGGAAATACAAGTATTTACTTATTTCAGTCAGAAAATACACATATTTACTGAACTTCTCAATACTTTTTACACATATTTACTGACTTCGTTTTGGTGGGATAATTTAAAATATGTATCATAAATATGAACAGATGCACAGTACATTCAATGTTCAAATCAGCTAGCATATCATATGTAGATAAATAATATTTGAAATAAACCTTTATTATTTATGAATTTAAAAAATGCAGTACTTGTAAATAACAACCAAAAAAACATAATGATACCCTGTTTTCATTTTCTGGAACTATTTTTCATTTATTTTTATACTTAAATTTAATCATGGATTTGTTATTCTTGTGAATAATTTTAACTTTTTTCCCATGTATCCCTATGTAAAACCTTTACGATCCATTGTGGCCCCACTCTTCCCCTGGCCGTCCTGATTTTAAGAAACTTGAATCAACACTACATAAGCATGCTCCCATATATCTATGACCGCACAGCTTTGGTGTGCTTGAGAAGGATTATTTTTAAGATTTTTTCTATGTAACCCTACTTAATCACCTATAATGGCCACACCCTTACGTACTCCGGGGGTCATGATTCGAACAAATTTTAATTTAAACTACTAGAGGATGCTTCCATATAAATACGACTTGCCATGGCTTTACTGTGACTGAGAAAGAAATTTTAAAAGATTTTCCCTATGTATTCCTATATTTAAATTTGATCCCCATTGTGTGCCCAACCTACCCCCGAGGGTCATGATTTGAACAAACTTGAATCTACACTACCAGAGGATGCTTCTTAACTTGAGTTCCATCTTTCCTGGCCCAGTGGTTCTTAAAGAGAACATGTTTAAAGATTTTTCCTATGTATTCCTATACAGCTCAACAAACTTTTTAAACTCACATGGTTTTCCGCACAAAATAAGGTCACATAATTTTGAAAATATTTTACAACATAATAGCAAAAGAACAAGGTATTGACCATGAACTGTATTTAATATCTTTTGTCAAGGTTACACGCCCTTGAAAAAAATTATTGATTTTTTAAAAAGACGCTTTTATAAATGATTTTAAGCAAAAAATTAAAATGATGCAACAATTAAAATGATTCTCTCATACTATTTTTAAAAATTCATTCCCTATAGTTTCTGCAGAAGTATGTGGTCGAAAAATTAAAAATCAATTCTTAAAGATTAATATTTTTAAATGAACCTTGGTTACATATAATTTTCCCATCGGTTTCATTGGGATCGGGCGACAAAAAAGGATTAGCTGCACATGGAGACCAGGCCAAAAGGTAAGATTATTTACTATTTCCTTTTTGTAAAAAAAATAAGTAATTTTTACAATTGAAAAGATTTTTTCGTACATTTTAGGACTTAATATTTTGTTATTTTGCAGTAAGACGAATCTCTCTCGATGCTAGACTTCAGATCATTACTTTGAGAAATGCGAAGTTAACATGGAAAGAAGTAGAGGAACAGATGACAGAAAGATATGGCGTCTCCATTTCGCGCTACGGCCTCATGCGACTGTACAAGAAGTATAAGTTACATGGCACATTGCACGACTTGCCTGGACGAGGTAGAAGAAGCAAAGTCACCCGTAGACAAGAAAGAGCGATAAAGAACCTGGCGTTGCAAGATAGGAGATTCACAATAAGAGACCTGAAGACAAAGATTCTTAAATCAAACAGGGTTTCCTTAAGTGAAACGACTGTAAGAAAAAGGTTAAACAAGTATGGAATTAAGAGCTACGTTCCTGCTAAAAAGCCATTACTTTCCAAAGAACAGAAACAAAGACGTTTGCAATGGGCAAGACATCACAAGAACATGACGAAGAAAGATTGGGAAAGTGTTGTGTTTTCAGACGAAAGTTTATTCAAGTCTTACAGTGACAGGAAAAATCGTCGAATTTGGAGAAGAAAATCTGAAAAGTATGATTCAAAATGTCTACAGTTTACTGTGAAACATCCTACCCAAATTTCATGCTGGGGAGTTTTTGGAGCAAACGGAGTTGGGGTTTTGAAAAAATATGAGGGAACACTAAATTCCAGCAGATATCAAGAAGAAATAATCAACAATTTAAAAACAACCTGTGAATGTTTAGTGTTTCCTAAAACATCGTACATATTTCAACAAGATCTTGCACCATGCCACATATCAAAGAGTACTAGAAATTTTCTTGAAAGTAAGAGAATACGCTCTCCCCTGGCCAGGTAACAGTCCTGATCTCAATCCAATCGAAAACATTTGGGCTAAAATGAAAAGAGAACTGTCCAAGAAATTACCCTCTAAGGAGAAAGACATGTGGGAACAGATACAACAAATGTGGTACACAGTTACGAAAGAATTTTGCATGGACCTTGTTCATAGCATGCCTGACAGAATAAAAGCAGTGATAAAAGCAAAGGGTGGAGCTACCAAATATTAATTGTATGATGAATTTATCATCCATTTAGAGAATAAATAAATTGATTTTTTCCCTCTAAGTCCATTTAATTGTCTTTTTTATAAAACGGAAGTTTTTACCAATGTGACCTTATTTTGTGCGGAAAACCATGTGAGTTTAAAAAGTTTGTTGAGCTGTATTTAACTTTGATCCCCCATTTTGTCCCGCACCCTAACCCCGGTGGTCATGATATGAACAAACTAGAATCTTCACTACCAGAGGAATCTTCTACATGAGTTTCATCTTTCCTAGCCGTATGGTTCTTGAGAAGATTTTTAAAGATTTTTCCTATGTATTCCTATGTTAAACTTTAATAGCCCATTGTGGCCCCAACCTACCCAGGGGGTCATATCATAATGTCGATAAATAGAGAAAATAATTTAAAAATTATACGAGGGTTGTTTGAAAAGTTCGTAGACTTCTGTCATATCTTCCATTTAACAAAATATGTTATCCAAATGAGTTAGAAATATTTCAACAATAAATCCAAATGATTTGTATTATACTTTTTTTAAATATCACAATTTGTTCAAAACTTATTCAGATCTTTACAAATGCAAAAATCAGATCGAGGAGCAGGTCAAAATTTAGTAAGTTGCAAACAATACACTAAATAATGTCTGTAGTCATAGTCTATGTAAAATGGAGCAAAAACGAAAAACAAATTAACATAGAAATTCAAATTAAGAATTTTTACATCGATTCGTATTCCAAACTATGGCTTAATATTTAACTATTTTGCTTTGTTGAAAAGAAATCAACCTGAGAAGATAGATATATTCCTCATTAAAAACGACAAAAACGATGACATTTTAGAACGTCACAGACCAGCAGAAAACGATGCAATTTCGTGTTTTACTCTGGAGAATTCGTATTCCAAACTATGGCTTAATATTTAACTATTTTGCTTTGTTGAAAAGAAATCAACCTGAGAAGATAGATATATTCCTCATTAAAAACGACAAAAACGATGACATTTTAGAACGTCACAGACCAGCAGAAAACGATGCAATTTCGTGTTTTACTCGGGAGAATTCGTATTCCAAACTATGGCTTAATATTTAACTATTTTGCTTTGTTGAAAAGAAATCAACCTGAGAAGATAGATATATTCCTCATTAAAAACGACAAAAACGATGACATTTTAGAACGTCACAGACCAGCAGAAAACGATGCTATTTCGTGTTTTACTCGGGAGAAATCTTGAATAAACTCAAAAAATGTTGGAAGAATAAAAAAAAAATGTCACAAGGAAGTTGTGCATGTGTGGACAAATAGTACAAGCAATATTTGAGTGACAGAGACTCTGTACATATCGGATGAGGACAATCTGTGAAGTAGCAGTTTAACTGTAAAAATCTTAACAAAAACTTTAAAAAGTTGGAACTTGAAGTAAAGACATAGACGCTTCAGAGTTGCTTAACCTGAGAAAGCAGAGTTAATTAATAAAAGAAATTAAAATCATAACAATGGAAATTATACAACGTTACCGATTCTTAAAAAATAAATGTCAAGTATTAGAAAAAATGATTTAATGGATTATACTTGTGAAATGTTGAGGGATACATGTAGTATTTTTCAAAAATTCTTAACGCTATATTTTGACGATACAAAGCCGTTAAGTGTGCTCCGCAGGTACTAAAAAATTTTGATTTTAAAATAAAGTAAATTGATTTCTGTTAAATCGAATGGAATGAAACTTCACACATCAGCAAAACAAATATTTTTACAAATTATATTGTGTTCATTTTATATTTCTAGTGAGTAATGTAACGAAGATTGACATCGTCCACGAACTTTTCGAACAACCCTCGTAAAATAAGGGATCCTTCCATTTATTAGTGTAGACAGCCACTTCCATTCAGGAATTTATTGTCCATCATTTCTCAAGGTTCGGCACATCAATATTTCAATTTCTTAGATTGGAAGCCTCCATTATTCTGTATCAAACTTTTTATTTTCATTTCATGTGTTGCTGAAATTGAATATATCAAGAATGTGTGATTTAGATACTACGGGGTAGCTGTTACTTTATGAAGAAATTAATTAAGATAAATTATACATTAACAAGGCATTTGGGCAATATATAATTACACGGAGAAATATATGTATAAGTTTACTGGAAATGTCTTGCACTGCTGAATTTTGATTAATAACGATTTTTTTTTAATTTTAGAAAACAGTTTCAAATCGCAAAACACTGGATTAGTAATTTTAATTAAATATTTTTTTGTATTGAGAAAAGATATTTTTTTAAACTAGATATTAGGGCGAGGAATCTATTGTCTGCCTTAATCCAAACAACTTATTAAATTTTTGCTTAATATTACATGCATGTACACGTATATGCAGTCCTTAATGATGATGATTATTTGATAACATGTACTATGGCTACACTCCCAGAACAAAGCAAACACAAAATAACTAATAGATTAATAATGTATAGAAATAGAGATAGGTGCCTTGTCATACAAATGCTATGCATAGTCAGTTACACAGCATTAGGTTTCATCTTTATTTTTCTCCAGAGACAAGTGAAATAATTCTCAGTCTATCCATAATGCATGTATATAGTTTTCCTGGAAGAGTAACAATTGTTATATTGTAACGACTGTGGCTTTTTTCCCTTCAAGTTCGGCTTTTCATAGAGGCCCCACCCTACCCCTGGGGGGTCATAATTTGGACAAACTTGAATCTGCGACATCTAAGGATTTTTTCGCATGAGTTTCATCTCCCCTGTTGGTTCTTGAGAAGATTTTTCAGTGATGCCATTAATTTTTGCAATTTCATAATTATCTCACCTATAAGAAGGGCGTGATCCTTCATTTGAACAAACCTGAATCCCCGCCACCCAAGGATACTACTCTGTGCCAAGTTTGGTTGAAATTGGTCCAGAAGTTCTGAAGAAGAGGAAATTGTGAAAAGTTTACAACAACGATGACGACGGCAGACGACGGACAAATGTCGATGAAAAACTCAATTGCGCCTTCGGCTCAGGTGAGCTAAAAGTACAGGCCTGGGGGCCATAAAACTTAGACGAGCTCACTTTTGAACTCAGTCTTACTTTTACCAAAGGAATATATAGTGGAAAAGTGAGACTGAGATCAAAAGTGAACTCGTCCAAGTTTTATGGCCTCAAGGCCAGATCTCTATGAAAAGTGCAAAAATACGGACCCTTAGGAAATTCCAGAGGTGGGATTAGGTGTCTAGGAGGAGTAAACATCGTCTGTTCACCGGTCACAGTCGCCGTGAGTCCTACATATGTATTGATAAGACAGAAGGTTCTGTAGTCAAACTAAGAACCGAAACAAAGGCCTTACAATTTGTTTGAAACAAGTCAACAGAAAGAATCATAATCTTTAGTGCAAAAACAACTTAGGCTAGATGGGAAAATTATAAGTAAATAAACTAAGGAAGGAATATATGCCTGCAATGGATATTTTAGGCATACATGCCTATACTTTGCCACATTTGATTGAAATTCCGTGAAAGGCTATAGGAAATCCACTATACTTATAAAACTGTATAGAAAAAATGCAGTGTGCTTATACAACCAAGTCACGCAGGTGGCATATTTCTATTCGATTTCGTCCGTTGTCATGAGCTGTCCATCCTCCATTAAGCATTTTCATTTTCTCCTCTGCAACTGCTCAACCATTATTTCAACCAATGTTAGCATAAAGCATCAATGAGTAAAGGAGAACAAAAATTGTGTATTTCATGCTCCTAGGCTGCCTGGGGCCTGAGGGGAGGGGCTAAAATCAACAAAATCAAAAGAATCTTTATCTTCATGCTCTGCTTCTGGGTACTTAGTAAACAGACACAGTTTAATAGTTATAATGAGCAAGTGTGCAACTGTTAAAATTGTGAATTCCATGGCCTCTGGATTAAAACATAAACCTGGCCATCTCAATTGTGAGAAACCTGTTACATGATACTTAGGTGACCTACAACAAAACTCTTTGGCCTCTTGATGTTGGAAAGGATCCCAAGAGTTAATTTAATCAAATCGATTTATAAAATAATACAAGTTTATTGGTGTTTTTTTTTTCTTTCCCTTTGACTGAAGGTTGAGTTAACCTTTACTTATTTTGATTTATATAAAAATTCAAACATTTAAGATAGACAATTACTTCAAACAATGTTCATATTTTTCATCATAATTAAATAATTTATTGTTCAACATTATTGACATTTTAATTATGTATCACTGTCATGTCAGTAGGTAAAAGAATACCTACTAAGTATATGTCGAATGGTTCTGAAACATGCTTCTAAACGAACATAGAATAAGTTTCAGTTATTATACATGTACATGGATAAAAGAGCACAGACTTAAGAATGGTTTATAAAATGTGATGCACCTGTGTAACCACATAAATTCCATACATCACATACAAGTGTTCACATGGAATGATAGTTTTCACATGGATAATAGTCTGAAACATGTTCCAGTTTTTCTGCCATCACTTCACATTGCATCATTAAACAGAAGAAACCCTTTCACATATTTTCATCACTTCACATCTTTCACACAGATGACAAGGCCTGAAGGAAGGAACCACCTTCACATGTTTTTGGCACCATTCATATAATAAATGTTAAAAGCCTAGGGTCTGTAGCAGTGTTTTATATAACTACGTTCGTTTTTGTAGCACTAAATTCTAACAGTTTCCAGGCAGCTTTTGGATCCAATTCATCTTGATCTCTGCACAAGGCCCAAGTGTAGGTCATTTTGAAAATATCATCCTGAAAGAAAAAAACGTTGACACTTTGCACAAATATTTTACTTTTTAAATTCAGTGCATTAATTAAGATCACAACAAAAATATTTTTTAAGTCAATATGAAAGTACAAAGTCCATTTCTTTATATAATTCCAAAGCTTTTCATTAGATTTTTAAATTTAAATCTGGTTGGCAAAATGTAAAAATTTAAGTATGATTAATATACAGATTTTACTCACTGGACTACCAACAACCACTTCATTTTTAAAATCCCGCCAACATTCAATCTGATGAGCGTGGAACTGAATTAGTAAAACTGGGCCCTGCTCCATCACTTGTCCTCCCAGAACCTGACAAACAAAAAACATCGCAGTGATCAATAAAACGCTGCAGTCAAAAATAAAAATACAACACTTAGAATAATTTATCTACAGTTCAATTTATCATGTTTATGAATTACAAAACAAAAAAAATTTCCCCTGAGTTTTTCAATTTGTTCCCTATCAAAAAATGACCTTCTTTTAATTTAATATCCAAGATGGTAAAGACTGAATAAAGCATTTTCTTTCATATTGACATATAAAAAGATATCTGAGCTAAAACCCAGGGTACAAGAAACTACTTACATCCACACGACCAATATCAATGATCTGTGAGCATGGTTTGTATCTAGCTTCTATGTAAGGCTTTAATATGGCTGATGTAACATTGTATGCCTGCAAAAGATATTATATAAATACAGAAAAGGTAATCATATTGCAAGATATTAATAGTTATAAGAATTTTGTTCACCTACAATAAAAGTTACATGTATCTCTATTCAGCAAAAGGTCACATTTTTTGCAAAGTGCCAACTGAACTATTCAGCTAGAACCTCAATCACAGTACTCAAACTTTATAGTACTTACTGATTCATGCAACCAGTCTTTTAATACTTCTAAATCAGCTCTAATCATGGCCTACAAACAAAAGAACAGGGAATTGTAGAAATAAATTATACATGTAGCTTTTCAAATGGGTGCACATAAGTTTCAAGGTTTATCAAGCGTAAACTGCCCCAACATTTTCACGATACAGCCACCTCCTTCCTTTTTTCTAATTCTTAAGAACATTACATAATGTGTTTACCCAGATGTCACCAATATTTAGTTTTATAATAATAGACAAACTTCACATTCCTAAGAGTTATCTCCCTTGTCGGTGTAACGCTCATTTTTCGCACTTTGTCCTTTGTAAAATACCTGTTGATGTTTTTAATCTTCAAACGTTATCGGACAATTTCGAACTTTACCTGTATTGCCAGAGTATGGGACAAGATGAAAAACAGAATGAACATATTCATATAGATTTTATTTCTAAGACACTGACCCATAAAGTTGGTAAGGTTATCAAGGGAAAACAGTACCTTACGCCGGTTGACCCCTGATTGATCCCTCAAAGGGGAATAACTTTTGTAAATGTGAAAGTCGTCTATTATCAGATCTCAAGACCTCCAAGTATACATTACCTCTAAGATATGAGGGACAACAATGGTCTCACAATAGGAAGCAAAACTCTCTGGGGTGAAGGAAGGGTCGTATTTGTTGATTTCTGTCAAAGCCTCACTCAGTGTTGAAGGTGTCATTACACTACCTAAAACAACCAGAACTGAATGTTAATTTCTTACACTGTATGTATCAACTTTTAAGAGTCATTCTCTGTAAAAACCAAAGAATCCAAGAGAGCCGTTCAAACGAATGTCCTTGAAATACGTAATTTTTTTGTATATAGAGTGTAGTCAAGTGTCTAACACAGAAAACCTCCTTAGTTAATGTTTCGGGTGTCCGTTGTCATTGCAACCAAAACTAACGGAAATGTGGTCATTTTGACAGGTTTTATTTCATGAAATATAGCATTTTTAATCCCCATATTTTCTTTAAACACAAAAAATATGAAGAGAAAATATGGACCAAAGATATTTGTACATGTACATGTTTGTCAATTCCATACTCAACATTTCAAATAAACTGTACACAATTTTCAGTAACAAGTATTGTTTAAGGGTCCATTGTAAATACATGAATTTAGAATAATGCAAAGCAGAAAGAGAGCTACTGTATGCAATTATCATGGTGTCTCTCAAAAAGTCAGAGCAACACTTACCTAAAGCCCTGCCTATCAAATCTGTCACAGCTCTGGTTACTCTAATAGCAGGATTATCACTTTCATCATACCTCATTTTTAATTCAAACATTTCTGAAAAAATTAAAAGTGGGGTAACTCACAATTTTTTAATTAATACAAAAATTAAAGTCAACAGTTTACTTGTGTAAAGAGTTCAAACATTCTAAAGGTTTGGCCAGGGAAGAGTGTGTCTTTGCTTTGGAACAGGACTTACTCTAAATTGATAACTTTTTCATTTATCTAGAATATAGAGGTCAGATGCAGCATCTCTTGAGCATGTCTAGATAGATGCATCAAAAAGACATTTATCGGTTTAGGGTGTATGCCAAAATTATAACCTGGCCTGGGGTCCATAAAACTTAGAAGAGCTCACTTTTGATTTCTGTCTCTCTTTTCCATTCTTTTAAATTCCTTTGGAAAAAGTGAGACTGAGATCAAAAGTGAGATTGTCTTAAATCTATGGCCCCTAGGCCTGGTACCAGACAATATGAGAAAATATTGACTCATTTCAAAACATAACTACCCCTGGGTAAAATCCTGAATTTTAAAAGATGCCTACATTTCTTTTTTAATAAAATTCATTAATAAAGATTACAAGCTATTCATATCTAATACTTTCATACATTTTACCAATATTTACACTGATGATTCTTGTACCTAACAGGAATCCTATCATCATATAGTGTCTGAATGTTAAACCAATATACCTCCATAACACAGAGGCAGGTGTCTTCACTTCTACTTACTATTTAAGTAGGCATTATTCTCCTTGAAGTTTTGCCAGCTCTGGTAAAATTTGGAGTCTTTATGTAGTGTCACACCTGTGGTTTCACTAATAAATAAACAGACTGGTCTTAAATAAGGGCATTTTTTCAAATAATTTATAAACAATTTGGAATTTTTTTATTACATTTTACTTGATAAGGTGAACAGAATTCTTACTCATCCACTTTGATTTCTTTCTCCTCCTTCTTTATTGTCCTGAATTCTGATCTTTTCAGTGGTCTCTCTGCATAAATAAATAAAACCAACAGTGTAACTTGGTCTTCAAATGCAACAAAACTGAATTTATTATAAACACAATTTCTCTCAATTTGATGTTTTTTGGTTTCTGTTCTTTTTTTTAATTTTGAAAATCACTAGAATATACTGACCAGGAGCTTTATAAATTCTGTTTCTAGAGAAAGCAAGTTCATCTAATTCTTCCGATACTGTTTTAACACCCTGTGAACAAGAAAACAAATGTGTTATGAAACATACTCTAAACACATTTACTTGATCAATCTTAACCTGAAATACGCAAGTTTCGAGATTATCTCCCTTGGTGCGCTCTTTCGTTGAGGAGGGGAGTTTTGTTGCCATGTAAACAAACAGGTGGGACAGATATTTATATATTGGATACATTGCATCACAGGTATAATTATGGTTTATCATTTTTGTCGGGAACTCTTCATAAATAACCGAATTATGTAAAGGTGTCATTTTTAAAGGGAAATTTTTTTATATATTATATACGGTACAATGCAATCATTGCACGTCGGCAATCTAAATGACATATTGATTCTTTTATTTCCTTATTACAACTTCAAACCAGAAGTCTCTGTCGAGACTGTAGCTCTACTGGTTTGTACTTATCAAAAACCATTGCACTATTTTATGTATCTTTGTGTAGTCTACTTATGTGCCAACTTATTTTGAAATCAGACAAAAACTTTAGAGTTTTTAAGGAATCTTCTATAATTTTGAGTAACCATAGCTCTGAATACCGTTCATATAAAAACCGATGCACTATTCTATGTATCTTAGTGTAGTCTACTTGTGTGCCAAGTTATATTGAAATCAGACAAAACTGTAAAACGTTTTAAAGGAATTTCACAGAAAATTATTTTTAGTAACCACAACACCGTTTCTCTGCACTATTCTATGTATCTTAGTGTTTTTGTGTGCCAAGTTATATTGAAATCTGTACAAGGAGTAGCGTTTTTTTCTATTTTTGTAACCATGGCAACACCGTTCATCGAATAAAAACCGATGCACTATTCTATGTATCTTAGTGTAGTCTACTTGTGTGCCAAGTTATATTGAAATCAGACCAAAACTGTAGAAGAAGCGTTTTTAAGGAATTTCAAAGAAAATTCTATTTTTAGTAACTATGGCAACACCGTTCATCGAAATCAAAAACCGATGCACTATTCTATGTATCTTAGTGTAGTCTACTTGTGTGCCAAGTTATATTGAAATCAACGAAAACTGTAGAAGGAGTAGCGTTTTAAAGTTTCACAGAAAATTCTATTTTTAGTAACCATGGCAACACCGTTCATCGAAATCAAAAACCGATGCACTGTTCTATGTATCTAAGTGTAGTCTACTTGTGTACCAAGTTATACTGAAATCAGACAAAACTGTAGAAGGAGTAGCGTTTTAAAGGAATTTTAAAGAAAATTCTATTTTTAGTAACCATGGCAACACCGTTCATCGAAATCAAAAACCGATGCACTATTCTATGTATCTTAGTGTAGTCTACTTGTGTGCCAAGTTATATTGAAATCAGACGAAAACTGTAGAAGGAGTAGCGTTTTAAAGGAATTTCACAGAAAATTCTATTTTTAGTAACCATGGCAACATCGTTCATCGAAATCAAAAATCGATGCACTATTCTATGTATCTTAGTGTAGTCTACTTGTGTGCCAAGTTATACTGAAATCAAACTAAAATTGTAGGAGGAGTAGCGTTTTGAAAAATTGTTTATCATAACGACGTGACTGTCGGGGTACACTCTTCAACTTGAGAATAACCGAATTAATGTAAAGGCGTCATTTTTAAAGGGAAAAAATCGTAACAAAAAAGAAAATACAATGTATCAGTGGATGTGAGACTTTTCAGACGAGGGAAGAGATATGGACCTCTAATAAATACTGTACAATGCAATCATTGCATGTCGGCAATCTAAATGACATATTGATTCTTTTATTTCCTTATTACAACTTCAAAAAACCAACTAAACAACTTCAAAAAACCCACTAACTTTTTAGAAAGTGTTTGTACAATCAAGAAAATTGGTTACGTTTTATAAAGAGTACAACGTTTCTCTCGTTTTCAAGTGCCCTATAAGTGAAAGTAGATTTGTAAATAATTATACATAGTTGAGTTTGATGAACTCATCAAATACATCACTGCTTAACATTATTATCTTTCTATCACATTTAATAAATTTTAAAAGCCATAAATATCGTTCATTTATTTATGCACGTTTGTATACAGAAACAACCTGTCCCACGTCCATGCTGAAATGGATACTTTTTGCGCCTCTATGGTATTAGAGTTACAATCTTGAAACTCGCGTATTGCAGCATCTGAAACCTTGACTGGTACAATGAAACATACTAGAAGTATCTCTCTTACTGTTTTGATAAATATATGGCATAAAAGTCAAAGTCTCCAATTGTTTTGGTATACCTGTGCAACTTTCTTCATCGGTTGGGTCTTGGCCAGCTGCTCTCCTGCACTGGAAATTGTTTCAGCAGCTTTACCAGCTGTTTTCCCAAGTTCTTCTGTAAATTCCTTACTTTTCTTCCCGAACTCTGATTTACTGACTTCATCCACTGTCTAAAAAGTGTTTTTTCCCACATTTTTAAATATCTACTGTGAAATCACAATTTTTTTGGAGAGTTTAATTTTTTTTAAATTATTTTTCAAAGAATAAAAAGAACCTTGAATTCATGTACACCATGGTATGTAAAATTTCATTTACATGTACATGAACATTTACCACAAAATCCAATCCCCACAAGCCAATATTTTTCCTCAAATATATGGTTTAGGGTATTAAATGATATGAATTCACATCCTTACTTCTGTAAACAGAGCAAATGCATGTAAATTCAAATCATTATGCTCCTAAGGTTTTATATATAGAGAGAAAAAAAAGCCTGAAAGGCTTCAATGGCGTCCAACAAGAAAAACAATTTCAAAAGATCTGCAAATAGGTCAAGTAAGTGACTCCAGTATTAACATAATAATAAAATTTAAAAAAATAGTCTTAACACAAATACAGTATAGGGCCTGATAGCCTTGTGTCCTGGTCCGACTCACCAGACATTGTCTTTAAAAAAACATATTCAAGGAAAAAAACAAAAATTCCTAGCGGCAGCGACTGGAATCAAGGGCAGAGAACCAGTGCTAAGAAATGTCCATCCTCTATATCAATCTAATTTCTTTTCAGTCAATCGAAGACATATGAAGGGTTTCATAAATTATTTTACTTAATTGCCATTGTCAGAGTGCTGTTCTGATGTATAGTGATTGCATCTTTACTACAACCATGACTCTAATGTTACAAGTACCATCGACTTACGATAAGGCGCGGTAAACAAATGGAGGAAATGGATAAATACAGTAATACTGGCACTACTGGTCAATATTTTTAAAATTGGATTGAAGATGTTAAAAATTAGATTAAGAAATTCAATCTTTATAGTCTTGTTGTATTCGTGTTTATTTTGTAATTATTTTACCGTATTTAAGATTGTTTGTATTACTAATCGGTCCCAAAATGTGATTCATGTCATTCGGCACACCCTCTTTCTTGCATAGAAATTAAACATAATATCGTTGTTTTGAAGTAGTATTAATTGAAGATACAATTGATTTAATTTTATATTCAAGCTATTATTCATTGTGAACGTTTTAAAAGAAAGTGGTTTACAGCTGTTGCTATTTTCTATTGCGGATGCATCCACCGACACGTGCGGTCGCGTAAACCTGACTGATCGCTAGATGACGATCGGGCAAGCCCGACGCCATAAAAAACGTATCAATCAGAAGCCTACAATTTTTCAAAAAAGATACTGATAACTCACAATGCTTTAAAAAACATATTCAAGGAAAGTCAAAAATAAGAATAACTTAAGTAATAAGTTACCTCTGAGACTTTTCCTTTAACATCCTCAAAAGTTTTCTGAAAGACCGTTGAACTTTTCTTGGTTTCTTCTTGTACTTTTTTCTGGAAAATTAATACAATTGTTTTTAAAAATACATGCATAATCATAATGCTCATTTTTTAAACAAATGTTTAAAAATTAAGACAAATTCTCCCTCAGAAATACCTTCAAATTATACTTTCTTTTTTTTTATTTAAATATAAACATCAAGTGGATTGATATGGATTTATATGTTTTTCCTTTTTTACTTATAATAAATGTGACATTGAGATATAGGCAACACGGGTTTCACCATAAACAGATTTTTCTATCCAATCCTACATGTACAACCAGAATTAATTATTATTCAAGGTATATGAATGCCAAAAAAATCAAATTAAAATTTTAAAACAATATGATAAAGAGATTTTAACTTACAAACTTCTCTCTTGCTTTTAACAATGCTTCTGACTCCTCTAGACTTTTTCTTTCTTCTCTGAATTTCTTCAAGTTTTCCTGTGATAAGAAAGCATATCATGAACTTTCACATCAGAGTAAGAGGTTTTTATGAAAATTGAAAGTATCTGAAAATTCTGATTAATACAGAACTCACTTCTGCACACGACAATGATTTTATGGATATTCTATTTTTTTTTTAATTTGACTGATTGTAAACACAACCATCATGTCTATATTTATCATCAATCACATGAAATAATTTCTTTAAGGGTTTCTGAGATATTTATTTGAAAGACTAAAATGAGGGTTAATATTTATATCATCCACAAAACCAGTCAGTCTTCTTCAAGTACAACTAACTTACTACACTGGGTGAGTAGGTCATGATCAGTCTGACTTGTCTTAGTGTCAACTTCTGTATAACTATCACATGTAAGATTTTTTTTATGTTACCTTGATTTCTTTGTTCTTTTTCAGGTCTTCTTGAACTTGACTGATTAATTTTTGAAAGAAATTTCTTGGCTGTTGGTTTTCTGAGTAAAATCGGACCTGGAAAAAAAAGAAAATTATTATCATTTATCACTTATCTTCTCCATACAACAATATGCTGCAGACAATTTCCAATATATTTATTTTATAATTACCTGCTTGTATTGTGCCTGCATAGAGTTTTGCTGTAGCACATTTGATCCTCTGTTGACGTTTCCACACACATGGTTCTGACGACGTGGTATTAAACATCGCTGACATTTAATAAGCTAGAAATAAAAGGAAACGAAAACACTGAAAGTCAAAACTATTACTACAAAATTCTGTGAAAATATAGAGACGTAGTTATTTGTGGAAATTGCATAAGTCAAAATAAATGTAAAATTATAAAATGGTTATTGTTACAAAATATCATCAAGAAAATCAAAAACACTGGCAAACACAATATGGCATATAGATTGATCATATATACTTTAGAACATTTTAAGCAAAATTTACCTGTAAAACACAACTTTTACGACAAACAACACCAGCAGCGTGGCCCAAGGTCGACATGTTGGTTTATAGTGAATTTTGATTACCTCGATCCCGATGTAATTAATTTCTTCATTGAAAGAATCTATATTTTAAGATACATAATGCTTTAACAACAATTTCCATGTTCAATAAATGAATTCTTATATATTTGTCGGCATAAAATACATTTATCTTTAACACATACATATTTCTCCTACTGATCGGGTTTGACCTTTCCAAAACAAAAAGTAAAAGTAGAAAAAAAATGGCCCAACTGTCATCACGAATGCTGCAACAATTTTCAAGAATTGTGGTAATTTGAAAAGCCTGTATAATATTCTTCATCGTGCAAATAGTTCTAGAAATAGATACATATCGGACATAACCCAATGGTTATGATGACATTGTTTTGATTTGCATTTAGAGTGAAATGAAAACCAGTCTGTGTTTTATTCTGCAGGTTTCCCATTGGAATTCAAACTTTAAAAAAAAGACTAGAGTTCATTTTTTGGTTTAACAGTAAAATATGAATTTTATTGGTATATTTTTCCAGACACGAGGGTCAGCATTCAAAGCATTTCACACGCACCAGAATTTAGCAGCTGGGGTAAGTATAGTACTGTTATTTTTGGTGTAACATTTTGCCAGGGAATCAAAATTAGTTCAGTTTTTTTTTTTTAAAAAAGCATAATTTCAATTATTTGACTCAGGTTGTATTTACCTAAAACTTATTTTTTGACTTGAAAGTGGCTTACATTAGGATAAGAAAAAAAATCATTTTGTTTTGCCCCTCCTCCATTTTCACAATTTTTTTGTCAGAAATGGAACATTGGCAAGATCAATCATGTGGCAATAGCAACTCCTGATATTGAAAAGGCAGCTTCAATGTTTAGAGATGTTCTGGGAGCCAAAGTCAGCGAGAAGCATGTAAGTTACAACTCATTATTTTCTCAGAACCTTATACATATATCAATTCCAAGCTGAATGGTTCTCTCCCATTCTGGGAGAAGAGACCTATATCTTGATATAGGACTGTGGTTTGAGATAAAAAGATGTAAAAAATTTTTTGAAAAATTTTATTATATAATATTTTGACAGAAAATTGAGAGGAATAAAATGCTGTGCAGTATATAAGGACAAATTTTGAGATAATTCATTGCGTTTAAAGAAGAAAATAAATTTAAGAGATATCCCTTTTATAATTGTCTTTTTCTAAAGAAAAAAAAACCAAGTTCAGATACTTTCACACAATCAATATCTATTTCTTGTAGCCTCAGCCAGACCATGGAGTATATACAGTATTTGTTGAGCTAGGAGAAACAAAGATTGAGGTTGGGATAATAATTGGAAATTCCTCAAAATGAAACAAAGCAACCCATACACTATTTACACTTTAACACCAGATTACTTTTTTCTATTGCAGCTCTTAAATCCATTAGGAGATAAAAGTCCAATTCAGAACTTCCTGGACAAAAACAAAAGTGGTGGTATGCACCATATTTGCATTGAGGTACAATGATTTCAACCACAGTATCTAAAACAAATAACCCTTTAAAGTTACACAAATAGCTTATGACAATGGCACAATTACATAACATGTACATGTATATCATATGTACTCATCTACTTGATGTCACTAACAAATATGAGTATTTTTTGCAGGTTGATAATATAAATGAAGCAATGAAGGATCTAAAATCTAAGGGTATTCGACTTTTAAGTGCAGAGGCCAAGATAGGAGCCCATGGTAAACCTGTGGTTTTTCTGCATCCTAAAGACTGCAATGGTGTTTTAGTGGAACTAGAACAAGTGTGAAGCTATAATGCTTTTGGTGTACATGAAGTAATTGTTTTAATGATTTGAGTTGACAGAACAGCTTGTGTATTTGAAATATAAGGTTTGCTTCCAGATAAATGTTTACAGTGCTGTGTGACTTTGGTACATATGTACATGTATATGTCATTTGCTGTATAATCCTGTGGCTAAATAATTTTTACATTTATATATAACATAGTAAATACATATGTTGTTTTACATTTGCTGTAATAATGAACATGCACTTGTGGTATTAAATATGCAATGCAGTAGGAATTTCAAATTAAAGAATAATTAATACTTGTATACCACAAACCGCAATTTCAATTTTTCAGGTATGATTCTCCAAAAGGGATACAGAGCAAATTTTATTTAGAGCAATTATGAAATTATGATTATAATATTCATATGTTATTGAGATTAGATTTGGTGTACATGTATTGCCGCATTGATACTGTAAGTATCAAGTGAAAAATGTGTAACAGTGTTATATGAACTTTCTTTATAATTTGTCATATAGTCTAGGGACAACCAGGTTTGTATTATGCATAATTTATCTCTGAATTCACAATTTTGACAAATAAATAGTGCTTTGTTGTACCTTTGTTTAGTCCTTATTCAGTGAATAATTTAAGTGTGTTAAGTAAACTTAAAATACCATAGCAATTAAGATGTTTCATATAAATATCTATGATCGTTTTGAATAATTATGGAATTTGATTTTGGTAAAAGAATATTTTCTCCAAAATTCTGAACTGTTGACATTTGTCTTTTTGACGTGCAGATTGCTCTGGGTGTCAGATAAGGATATTACTTCAAATTTTATAACTCGAATTGTTTTCAAGTAAATATGATTAAACTTTGTATTTTGTAATTTTTCTGCCAAGAAGAAGCTTTATCCACCAAGAAAATTTTGTAAATTTACATTAATTTATTTAAAAGATATGAGCTCTGTCTATGAAATTTTGGGACAATCCTCATACTTTTAATGTCCTTTGTTCACACATTGCTTTTAAATTAATGCTTATGATTTTCTTAAAGAAATGCATTTTGTAAGTAAAATGCAAAGCACTGAAGCATTATTTTCAGGGCAATACTGAGTAAAAACAACTCTCAACTTGAAAAATTCGTAAATGAATTAATTATCTCATTGAGGTTAATCTCTCTTATCAGAGTATTACAGAGTAACAAAACTATATATGCACATTTATAGAAAGATTTGCAATCCTCAATTATGCAGCATTGCCCTCAAATACTATTATACAGAAGTTCATCTAAAAAAAATCTCTATTAACATCTGCATTTGGCCATTTTAGATTTTTAAAGAAAACTTTCATAAAAACTAACAAAGAAAAAAAACAGACCACTCCAAACATCCAGCCAAGCATCATCTCAGCCAAAATTTGTAGCAATTTATAGCCTCTGCTATGATCAGTAGGAATGAGTGTCTCAGATGAGATTAGTAAGGAAGAATGCCTAAGCTAAGATTAGGAGCAAAGAAAGCTTCAGCCAAGATAAGTAGCAATGAATATCTCTGGGATAAGTTGCAAAGAGTGTCTCAGCCAGGTTGAGTAGCCTAGTTAATAGCACTGAGTGCCTCAGCCCAGTTAGTCACAATGAGTGCCTCTGCTCAGGTAGTAGCAATGAGTGCATCCACCCAGTAAGTAGCAATGAGTGCCTTAGCCCAGTAAAAAGCAATGAGTGCATCCACCCAGTAAGTAGCAATGAGTGTCTCAGCCTGGTTAGTAGCAATGAGTGCCTTAGCCCAGTAAGTAGCAATGAGTGCCTCCACCCAGTTAGTAGCAATGAGTGCCTCCAGCCAGTTAGTAGCAATGAGTGCCTCAGCCCAGTTAGTAGCAATGAGTGTATAAGCCCAGTTAGTAGCAATAGGTGCCTTAGCCCAGTTAGTAGCAAAAAGTACCTCAGCCCAGTTAGTAGCAATGAATGTCTCAGCCCAGTTAGTAGCAATGAGTGTCTCAGCCCAGGCCAGTTAATAGCAATGAGTGCCTCAGCCTAGTTAATAGCAATAAGTGTCTAAGTCCAGTAAGTAGCAATGAGTGTCTCAGCCCAGTTAGTAGCAATGATTGTCTCAGTCCAGTTAGTAGCAATAAGTGCCTCAGCCCATTTAGTAGCAATTAATGTAGCCCAGTCAGCCCAGTTAGTAGCAAATCATGAGAGCTCATTGTATTGAAGCTATGGCCAAATTTCAGGTGTAGTTTTTGTGAGCCTTTTTTCAATGAGGACCATGACCCAGTATATGTAAGTGCCTCAGCCCAGTTAGTAGCAATGAGTGTCTCAGCCCAGTTAGTAGCAATGGGTGTTGCCACCCAGTTAGTAGCAAAAAGTAACTCAGCCCAGTTAGTAGCAATGAGTGTATCAGCCCAGTTAGTAGCAATGAGTACCTCCGCCCAGTTAGTAGCAATGAGTGTCTCAGCCCAGGCCAGTTAATAGCAACGAGTGCCTCAGCCTAGTTAATAGCAATAAGTGTCTAAGTCCAGTAAGTAGCAATGAGTGTCTCAGTCCAGTTAGTAGCAATGAGTGTCTCAGTCCAGTTAGTAGTAATTAATGTCTCAGCCCAGTTAGTATCAAAGAATGCCTAAGCCCATTTAGTAGCAAATCATGAGAGCTTATTGACGCTATTGAAGCTATGGCTCACAAATTTCAAGGCCTTTTTTCAGTGTCAACATATTTGTACTCTTGACCATGACCCTGACCTTGGAGTATGACCCACAATTAAAAAACTTTGACTTTTGCCATAACTGTTTAATGGTTAGTGCTTGGATCTTCATACTTCACAAATATATTCATTGGGAACAAATTCTTTCTTTGGGTAGCAACATTTTTTCATTCCTTGACCTTGGAGTTAGGCTTAATGAATACATTTGAGAAATTACAGCATTCCCCTAAAGCTGTCATATGTGGGATAAGTTTTTTACAAACACACCTTGTTACATTTTTGAAATTTAAAAAAAAAAGTATAATCGGATGTTATTAAAATATATTTATTACACATTGAAAATTATTTACAAAAAAGCAATTAAAGTATATTTACAAAGTAATGGTAGTATTTCTTTATACAGATGAAAAATGCAAATGATGTGAGACGAAAGTCTATGTGAGATATGAATAAGTTCTCATATTATATATGATAATGAACGTTATGTTACATATGTACATTTCAGTATCACAGAATTTAGTTTCTGGCAGCTAGCCAGACTTCATTATGCCTATTGACTGAGTACGGTCCGTCATAACCCGCGGTATAGAAATGATCGTCGTAATGCAGGCTGCTGTTGTTAATTTCATTTTTCAGTTCTGTTACTTTTACAATGTTTGTCATGTGATTCGAAAACCCGCTGAAAGATCTGAAAGAAATAAAATAATATATACATGTATACAGTACTTATGACAAAATAATGTTTACATATCGAACACACTTGAAATGACTTACTAGTAGATTTGTTAAAAAAAAGTGGTCATATTTCGTTCAAAGCAATGAAATAAACAAATTTTTTGCTGAATACAACTACTCAGTTTTGACCATGTTTGAAAGTCCCATGTAACTTAATTTAAAGCTGAATACAATTCGTAAAAGGAATTAATTTGTCCGCCATATTTGTCATTCCTTCATTATATGAGTTCCCTAATTCCAGAGAAATCGACAACAGTTGCACAGGTCAGTGCAGTACAAACAAACACAAATACACGTAAACAGCAATAAAATTTAAACATGGATTATGTAACATAAAATTTATAATACTAACACTAGCACTCGTCTTTTATTCTACGCTAGTGCGACAAATGTGAAGTGTATGCCCCACTGCTGATATCCGAGATAAGAAAACTAATATGGCGAATGCATATTTACGAGTCGTGCTCAGCTTCAATAACTGTTTTGTTTTATTGTAGACTAATCTTACATGTAAGTCCAAGCGTGCACTTGCTATTTAATTTACATCTCTAGAACAATGGTCTCAACTGTAAAGGTGTACGGTACAGTTTAGTTTTGTGTATTAATTAGCTTCTAATACTTACTTGACGTAGACATCCAGTGTTGGAAGCATCGTGATATACACGGTGGGGTCAGTTGGCTGGGGAGGGTAGGGCTGCATATTATGGGGGATCATAAAGTGCATCTCCGACACGGTCTGCTGCATCCCCACCCCTGGGGTGAAAATGTTGACCACCGGGGCAGTCATGGGGATCTTCATGCCTTGAAAAATATCGAAAAGACCCTTTGAAAGTTTGTATACTTTATTTTACAATTTCTGCGTTTTATAATTAAATTCTGATGAATGTAATTTAGTGTATACCTGCAGTATTGTTTCCAGAAATATAGTAGAAGAGCTTGAAGAACATTTGTGAGTTTTTGTGGGTGTCGTAATTTGTAATCATGTCTCTGGTTGCTACCCATTGTGAGACTTCATATCTCCTTAACTCATAACCCTGAAAAGTACACAAAAAAGAATGTTATAAATACGTATAAATGTGAAAAAAATATGATGCTGAAAACGGCTACAGAATTATATATAATAAAATTGTTGAAGACTAATTACATTTTTTGTGCTTTTAATAAATACATGTAGATGTACAGTGGAACTAATTCATTAAATGGGTCGGATACGAATTCACTGTAAAGCAATTATACAAATATACAATTTTTTGTGCATGATGAAACGCATGACGAATTGGGAAAAATGAACTAAAAGTTATTTCCCTTTTTTAAATGTAACTAATGATTGATTGATTGTATGTTGTTTAATGTCCCTCTCGAGAATTTTTCACTCATATGGAGACTAATGAAATACGGATACTGTTCAATACTTACTGTGAAGTTTTTCAAGACGGTATACTTGGGGCAGTCTAGGTCGTGACAAAACCATGGATGACTGGGTGTTGCAGTAGAGAAAACAAGGATAGATGCGACAACAGCGAGTAGAAACATTGCGCCGGCTAGAATTTACAAGTGTAAAATTGACTGTTTTAATGGATCTATAAATGTTAAAAATATTTTGATATATCCCCATACAATTTTCAGAGACTCTCAAAGTGTCTTAGAAATATACAAGTTTTAGATTTCCCCATGCTTTTCAACTTTAAAATGGTGGAGCACTGTATTAAATCATTATCAAACACAATGACAGTTGTATGCGTTTAACTCAAATCTTTAAAAAAAGAAAAAATATTATTTCGCATGAGATATTAATTTAAAAAAATAAACAAAGAAGGGGGGATTATACTTGTAAGCTCATGAAAACGCAAATGCGTTAGTCTGATTTTTTTTTATTTCTAACAAAAATATGAAAAAAACGTATTTTGTATACCATTGTAATAGGGATTTTATATCCGCATTATATACCTACATGTAATAAAGCAAGAATTCAATATTTCAAAATTAGCAATATTTTGAATACTCAGTACATGTACTATTAAATGAATATATTTATTCTATACTCATTTCTTACCTTGAATGCTACCAAATTATTAACCTTTCAAATTCGGAATTTAGAATAATTTCGATGTTTTTGATCCTCCGTATTTATAGACTGTCGGGGGCCTTAAAGTTTGGTTTGATAACGTACAAACGTGCCTGACACGTGTGAGAGCGTCTTACGGAACAATTATTGACACTTCCAGGAGGGTATGCTAGTGTCCTTTTTCCAAATTTGGAAGAAATGATAATAGGACATTTCATGTTTATAAAAAATTAAACAGAATCCGAGGAATCAATTTCTATTATCTTCCAAATTTTTTTTTTCATTAATTTAAAAAAAATTAGAAAATTAGGTGGTATAACTATAGTCATAACATGCATTTTAGATGCAGTTCTTTGAAATTACATCTTTTACAGATCTAAAAATATATTTTAAGTTCATTGTGTTCATTAATACTTATTATCTTGTAAATGTTTTATCAATGAATTTGTAATCTTTTGTTTTCTTGAGTCCAGGGTACATGTAAGCCCACAGCCCCCACCCCACCCAAACAATATAAACAAGGTTCATTGTAACTATTGGTAGTGTTCGGTTATACATGTACGTAGCCGAAAAAAAGGACCAAGTCATTGCCATTTACATGACCTTAGTGACGTACATGTATGAGGACTCGTCCAGTCAACTTTGATATCAAAATGGAATTTGTGAAAGATAACAGCTATTTGTTCTTCAAACGGTAATTTTCTGAAGAAGGCCGGTTACACAACAAAATGTCTGAATAAATATGATTTTAACTTGGTTATCTTTCTTCTGGGGGGTCATCCCACGTGGCTTTACACGTGCCTTGTGTGAGTATATACTGGTGATATAACTCATTTTCGTTCAAATATAAAAAGAATCTGTATGCGCACATCATAAGGTAATAGAACACACGAGTGATCAGTTTGATTGAAATTTAAATTAAAAGAGGCAATAAGGTAGGTTGGCTATATTAATCCCATATCATACTCTTTAAGTTTCATTTTAACTCTGTTCATTCATATTCTTGACGTTTTAACGTTTACGATTTTCAAGAAGAAAAATTAATGTATTTTTAAGTAATAATTTTAACAAAGGTTCTGGGGCAATACATCACAAAAAAGACTTTTTAATTTGACAAACTGATTTAGATAAAATATAAAGATATTCATAACAGTAAGAGTTATCTCCCTTATCAGAGTATCAATAAACCTTAATGATTAATTAAAAATTTGAAGGAAAAACGATTCAATTCGACAGCATCCAATTGTTTTATTTTTCAAACATATACATTTACCTATAGTCATCTTATTACCATTTAGGAATTATTTAATTCTGCATTTATTTTTCTATATTTCATTTTCAGAATGATTCGCGAGGTACTTATTTCCAGTTTCCTGACACTAACCGTCGGGTTAGTTGTTCACAACCCCCACACACATGACCACAATGCTCCTCTGCCAGCATTCTGTAATCATCTGGATTGTCCACGATTCTCCGTCCTAAGAACATTCAAAGTAATTCAACAATTTCTTAGATATTATCGGACCGCGGGGGGGGGGGGGGGGTTAAAAATTGATAATTTCAATGTAGAATTTGTATTTTAAAAAACAAATTGAATGTATAGAGTTAAATAAAATTTGAAGTTTCGAGTGTTTCTATTACCATATAAGTGGAAATTTTAGCGAGACGCAAAATTAGCGATATTTCTTTAAAAACTGGTTCTACTTAAAATGCTCACTAAACAAGCTAGTACTAATAAAACGTAATTTAGCGGTATTCAATTTTAGCGATCTCAACAGCTTCGCTAATAATTCTAAATTTAAATCCTCGCTAAAAAATTATTTTTGTTTTGCTTTTAAATTGTTTTCTATGGTTGATTTATTATATTCAAATTTATTTCTCTATACTTGAAGGAGGGATATGAGCTCCGCCAGTACGAAGCATCAAAATGGGTGATGACAAACTTAACCGCCATGATATTCACGGACGACGATGACAAAAAAATGTTTGATAAATTGTTTTATTATATATCTGGAAATAATTCTGCTCGTAAGTATGTACTAAAATCTTATGAAATGTCAAAATTCTTAGTATCATGCAGCCATGAAAAATATTCAAAACGAAATCTTTTTGTAAGAGACGGATCTGAATCGTTATGCTCTGTATATGTACAATTAAAGAATTAAAATAATTTTTTTTCTACAGATTCAAAAATCCCCATGACCGCCCCAGTATTACGAGAAGTGTTCCATGGACCGGGTCCAGCCTGTGAGAGCACGTTTTTGACCCATTTTATGATCCCCTTCTCCTTACAACAGAACACGCCCACCCCCACAGATCCGACCGTGTATATCAGGGACTTACCAGCCATGCAGGTTTTTGTAAGGTAAATTCTTGTGGTATTTATTATGGGAGTCCACCAATGTTAAAGAGCAACTGGACGGAATGGTAACTGAAACTATTTGGGCTGTGTGTTGCCGCGCGAGGTGGTTGGGGTTTGTGGGTGAAGGATCAAAATATTTAGCAACCGTGCAGATGTACATGTACGAGGATTGATCCAAAAGTTCGTGGAATTTCTTTCTAAAATTTTATCGAGATTTGATTATAGCAAACAATAGACATATTTATGATATAGAGTCATAATGCAACAATACTGGAAAATTTCACCGTGTTCCAATAACAAGTAAGGTCACACCAGCTTTCTGAAAATGGATTGTTGTAAAACCCGGGGGAGACTTCGACGTAACGTCAAGTTAAGCATGTCACGTCACATTATAGAAGCATCTCACCCTAAAGTCCAATTCGAATACGTAATTCTATAAAATGCTGCCCCTTTCTCCAATTTTTTTCTCAAGAAAAGCCTACATGTATCCTCGCTTACACTTATCTTCATTTTTCCCTCATATTTCAAAATACTCCCCATCTTTCCATATGATGCTACAATTTCAGTAGCAATGTCAAGAACAGTACGTCAGCCGACAACGCGGATAAACAATTAAAACAGACCCTCCAAAAAGCGGTCACACCTTTAAAGAACGTCCAGGGAAGTTCTATTTTTCTTAAATTCCGTAAACTATGGAATCTGGAAGGGCCACGTAGTTCAATATTGCGAAAATCGACTAAAGGGTCAATGACGCAAAAATGCGATGGTGAGATAACGATGAAACGATATCGATGAATCGATGTAGCAAGATGACAATGATGCAACAATGCGATGACGATGGTGCGAAAGCACGATGAAGTGATAGTGAACATCGCTTCATCGTCATCGTACTTTCGCGCTATATGGCATAATCGCGTTATCCCATATCGACCCAAACCTAAATAATGCGATAGTAAACTTTATGGCTCTTTTCCTACTGCACTTATTTTTATTTATTTTTTTGTTAATGCAAGATAATTAAAATTCATAGATGTTTCTTTTTAACGTAACAATTATATATATCACAATTTGGTAAATAAATAAATGATCATTTATTTAATTAATCAATTTACCAATATAATATACATGAAATATATATACGTAACATACATTTTTTTTAATTGAACGTTACAGATCATTTGGAGGTAAAGCAACTCCAGACGACTACATGAACGAACTTCAGACTTTGGCTGATCAGATTGGAACCACCGCTAGATTCGAGAATGCATTCTATTTCTTCTCTGGGTACGATAGCCCGTACAAAGTGACGGACCGTCATAATGAAGTATGGTTAAAGAAAATGTGAAGAAAGCGCCGAACGGAACAAATCATTGTCATAATACTAGTCAAATATAATACCTGGTGTTATTATTATTATTTTATACTTATTTTATACAATAAAAAAACTAAAACTTTGGCATCTTTTGTATTTTTAAAAGAACTTCATGAGAGATAGTAAGATATTCATTTAATTAAAGTTCATATGGTTTGGCTGTGTATTCTTTTAAGCGCTTTTGGCGGAGTAAACCCTTCCGCTAATTCAAGTACAACGCCAAATGTCTTGCACATATACACATAAATAGGAACACTGAGAAAATGCGCTTCATTAATCAAATATACGCTTAACTTGTGCAAGAATCAATTTCCGCCAAATATCGTACACGCTAAATATAATACGTTTACAGTACGGCACTGTTTATTAACTTTCATGGTGTATTTTAAAATTTAATTAATATATGAATTGTCAACTTTTTACTACACTTTTTCTAAGACTTCGAAGAACCTTGAATCGTATTTAAGATGTATAAAATGAAAATTGTTGCGTGAAAAGTTTTTCAGTTTCACGTTGAGACTATTTTTAGTTAAATAATACTATAGATTGCAGCTAAGTGTGAAGTTTTACGCTAAGTTACGATCTAGTTTGACAGCTGCGCTCAATGTAAACCGTACACGCCTCCTAACCGCTAGCTTTACGACTAGAATTTTCTTCAAATCCCTGATTGGTTGCTCGTACAACAGACTATTTCTGTGTCAATGTTGATAATATGAGTTGACCAATCACGTGAACTGTTTACGCTGGATGCATCTCTCGAAAAGGATCGTGACGTAATGCAAAACTTAACACTGAACTGAAATTGATAGTAAATTCAAGAGTTACATGTATCCTTCCTGGCTGAAGATCAGATATCCGTTAATTCCGTTTCTGTAATCAAACCGCATCTGTTAATTTCTGTGCGGCCACCTTTACCAAATATAAATATTTTTCATGTATCAGTTTACTGTTTTAAAAACCTTTCTGTACGTACTGTTTTAATACATTAATGATCTTGAAAAAAAAATAAATACAAAAAATTTGACATCCTTAGTTGTATCTAGATTAAGAATTTGGTTTTCATTCGTTCATATTTTTTTAAAGTATATTTAAATAAGAAACGATTCAAAATCAATTAATCTACCAACAGTCGTTGGTGGACGTTACTGAATATAATGTGAACTCTCAGGATTTCTAGATTTTATTAAAATCATTTAATTAAGATTCTAATCATGAATCATACCAACAAGGAATTATTTCCTCATTAAACAACTAGAAACAAATTTCAAATTCAAATACACTACATGGCACAAGTAAATACTTAAAATTAAATGTAAACATGATTGTAGTTAAAAGGTAATTTAACACTCATCTTATGAATAATTCAAAAGGATGAAAAATCATTGCTTAAAATTATCCTTATCATAATTTTTTAAAGAAAAATTCAGCATGTCACAATAAAAACCACAAATCGTGTCTAATGCCAAATAAAACTTTAAAAGTAACCTCAATTTATCCTTACCCAAAGACTACAAACATCCAAAGTCACACGCACACACACCCTGTACATACACACTCAACCGTTAGACATGATGCCGTTAAATTATGAGCAATTTCCTAAATTATTATGCCCTCAAACATTGAACACAAAAAACCTTCTCCACATTTACCCACTAATATGATTAAAACTTGAAACACAATAACATATCCACATTTACCCTATAAAACGATTTATAATCAAAAATAGTTTTTGTGTCATCAACCAATCACATCACTCTCATCAAAATCAACCAATCACATCTTTGTCATCAATGAATCACATGTGTGTCATCAACCAATCGCACCGAAGTGTCTACACTGTTTGATAAACTTTCAGTTTGGCCACATTCATTGCAAATAAAATTAAGACATACACATAATAATTTATGCGTTATGACTTATGTACATCCAGAGAGCTGTAAAAACTTCGTAACTTTTTACAATTAACAATAAAACATGTTGAATGGTATGTACATTGAAATTGTATAAATGAACTTAAGTCTTTGTTTTTGTCAAACATAGTAATTGAACTGCCATTGCTGTGTTTTTATTCCCGGCGTGCATTTTTTCGCTACCACTCCCGCTGGATCCACGTCCAAACACAGTCCAGTCCTTTCATGTCGAATATAGCTGTTCTGTAAAGATATCAAAAATAAACCATGAAAGCTGAATTTTTCCATGCTATAGTTACTGTACTTACTAAAGAAGCTACAGATGCTAGATTTTATTCAATTCACAAAAATAAAATAATATAATCCTAGAAAATATGTCGCAAAGACAATATATATATGTCAGCAATCATCATATATAATTTTTCCACTTGTATTATTTCTCATATTATGATGTTGCTATATGAAACATAATTAATTACATGTAGGTCTTATTTAATATTACATGTATTTGTGTCCTTATCTAATACATAATGCAGTAATCCAGCCTCAGCATGATCATTCCTGTCTCTCTGTCTTAGGATATAAATCAAAATTTTCCTAGTGCCAGTGATTTCTACTGTACCTTGCCTTCATAATTCAGTCTTCCTACCTTGACATGATTGCTCCTGACCCCCGTCCCCCCAAGCCTCATATCGTCATAGTATGGGTTCCTTTGTACCTTAAACTTGAAAACGGTTATCTTCCTTTAGCCCTCCTCTTTCTTGAACATCACAGGGTTCATTTTTACCCAGGACTAACATGTCACCTACAGATTTTTCATCTTGTTTGTGGCATTACGCTACATGTATCTTGCCTTAAAGTGGGTCCATTTATCCCAGGGACCTTGATTTCAGCCCTGTGACATTGGTTAAGCCCTCCCCCTTCTGGCCTTAACGTGGGTCTACTTTTCCCTAAGGCCTATAATGCATGTAGATGTACATTCCTGTAACAGCAGTTGAGCCCCCCTCCCCCTTCTTACCTTAGCGTGGGTCCACTTATCCCTGGGACCTATAATGCAGTCCTCTAACATTGGTCAAGCCCCACCCCCCTTCTTACCTTAGTGTGGGTCCACTTATCCCTGGGACCTATAATGCAGTCCTCTAACATCGGACGAGCCCCATCTTGATTTTCCTTTAGCACCACGCATTGTAAGGAAGTCCTTAGTAAATTATCTTTTGTCAGAGAAAATCCCTAAAAAAATTAATCCAAAAAATAGCAATGACAAAATTTCATTTTATGAAAAAACGAGGGAAACAAATGTAAGGGTTAATAAGATATTTTTCATCAATCGAGATTAAATGTATACAAAAAAGACAATTGTCAAATTTCACCTTCTTCGTTCTTACAAGTTTTATATGATATATTTATTTTTCTTTAAATCATCTAATGAAAGATTTTTTTATGCTTACCTGCGTAGCAAGTTTAAAATGGCACGGTTCAAAGAAAAGACGCTCAGGGGCTTGGAACAGATACTGATGATTGTCAAAGCATTTATTGTCATTCACATTGCGCAACTGTAATAAAAGTTAACAAAGAAATTGAACTATTTTGAAAATTATTTTTATATCCTACATTTTAAAATGAATTCTGCGATAGGAGCACAGGCACCTGACGTTACTTATTTTTCTTTTAATTAAAAAATATACACATACCTAATAATAAACATAGGTATGTGTATATTTTTTAATTAAAAGAAAAATAAGTAACGTCAGGTGCCTGTGGCTGTTTTCTATATTATACTATATATTGGCAAAATTATTGGAGGAGACACGTCCCTCCCCTCCCCCTCCCCCATACCCTCAGTTCCTACGGCCATGATCAAACATCTAATGTTAGAAATATTACCGATCCCCAGGCCTGGACATTTCTGTTGAAGATGAACAGTTCCGGCCAGACGTTGTCGATAAACCACGTGAAATTTTTACAATGGAGGTCCTTCTTCAACTGAAGTCTGGGACTCAAGTCCCCAGCGTCAAGAGTCTGAAATAGAGTTATCACTCTTACATCAAAACATAAAAACATTTCTGATAAAAACTGAATAAACAATATCGCTTTATTTGTTAATTTTTGAATTGAATTTTTATTAAAAGTTTATAATTATGTCTGATAAGGGTTTGAAATTGTAATATTTCACTTTAATTATTTTGCAAGCAAATCATTTCAAACAGACTAACGGACAATTTATACAACATATGTACATGCATGTATTTTTTTTTAAAACAAGAAATAACCCCCCATTCTTTTAATTAAAAAAGTGGGGATTTTTTAGTTGTGAATATTTATGGAAAAACACGAGTTATGTACAGTTGAAGTGATCACATGTAAGAGGAACATTTTTTACTTAGCATATGTAATGTAAATTCGTAGCTAGTTGCAAAATCTGAAGACTTCATAAACATTAACATACATGTACAAATTTCACATATTCTGTTTTCCATTTTATGTATAACAAAGGTAACACGTGTCTTAATCATTGCCTCAAACAAGAAAAAAAAAGTTGCATATGTACTGTTATACATGCGGGCATAGGCTATCACATCAATCATTGTCATTAATTTTCCTTGGTTTAAAATAATATGTCGTTATCAATCATTTGCAGATGCGATCCCTTTTTTATAAATACATATAAATGAAGATTGAACAAGAGATATCAGAGCAATAAGCTTTTTCCTGACTGTAAAATCCATATCAACAGCGAAACTGCATGTTTAACCTCTAATCAGTAAACAATCAAAAAAAAATCTACATCAGAGAGAGGTATTAGACTTCAGTATCGATTGCTCTGTACTTTTCTGGCTTGAGAATGATCGCGGTCCGATTTAGATCTTGAGTTAAATAACATTAATTATTAGCTGTTTTCTAGATCATAATCTGCGTACAGACGTATACTAGTACTAAAATTTCCATTTTTTATGGAATATCAATACATGTACCTTTGATCTTGCGATATCAAAAAGAAGATTGAACATACAAGGGAAAAAATCGAAAAATCGTTTAGCGAGAAAAAAAAGAAATGTGAATTTAGATTAGGTAAAATAAATATTAAACTTAGATTGCAGAATCCATGAACAACTCAAGGGTAAAATCAAATTCATGGTCGCTTTTTAATAGATTCACTTAGTTACACACGACCAAACATTTATAAGTAACACAACACGAATTCACACAAAAGACCTATCTCCAATTTAATGTACCACATGTATGCCTTTTATTCAGTTTCTAGCCCTGGATGCTTTAAACTATAGGCTATTAAGTATTTTTTTTAATATCATGAATTACCTTCATTTCGTCAAAGTGGTCATAGATGAAGCCCCTATACTCCGGGTCCACCCACACCTCTACCGCCCTCTTGTAGTTATACACCTCAATGGTTCTCCTTCCTCCAGGGAAGGAGTAGGGCTGGGACCGGGGGATGTGGCCCAGGTGAGAACAAGGGAGATGGACCAGTCTACCCCCACACATCCACACCTGTAAGAGAAAAATTTTCTTCATCTTGATAGCATGTAACATTTCAAGTAACAAATAAAATTTAGAGTTATTCTTTGAATTAGCTTGGTCAATATTTTTTTTTTAAACGTAATAAATTTGAATTGCAAAGGCAATCTTCTTGTTGATTTCTCTGTACATGACTAAAGCTCGTTAAAAATTGGCAGACAGATCCAAAGGTAAATAAAAAGTTAATTAAACAAAATCTGTTGTGAGCGCGCTATTCCAAAACCAGTGAAAACCTGCAGGTATGTTATTTCCAATAAAAATGCAAAAAAACAAAAACAAAAAACAAACATTTTCCAATATATTAAAAACATCAAAGACTTAAATCTTTAAGTCAAAAAATCTTCAATATAAGGTGCATGCTTTTTTACATAAGGATAGGAGAGACACTTGGATTAAATATCTAATAAAAGTACAGTGTAATTACTAGTATCTTTTGTCCTTCTCACTAAAATCAAAGGTGCTATAAATCTATTCAAATAAGACTAGAGAATGGAGGACTGGTGATCGACATATTGATGCTATCATTTTCTCATCATAATTATAAAAAATAAACATCCAGATTTAAATAATAGTCTGCCTGATCGTATTTCGATGAGACAATAATAAAGATATTAGCAAATATTAAAACTCAGTCGCAAAAGTCAATACATCCCACTGCATGCTTATAGACCGATTTCTAGTATGTCTTTTTTTCTTCGGTTAAAATGCTAATATCATACTGAATAAATTTCTAAATGTTGTTTTTTATGTATCCGAAACCTAGTATAAAATGCAGTCGGTCGATGAAACCGATTTGTCGTGCACGTTTTGTTCCCTTTGTACAAAGCAATAATTTTTTTCCGCAAGCGATTAAAATCTAAGCGAGCAACTGCTGTTATGTGATTTCACTAATTTGTAAAGCTCTTGGAAAAATATCGAAAGATAAGAGAAAAATTTGAAGAACTGATTCCAATGCAAATTGCAAAGTATAAAATTAAGCTAAATAAAAATTACCCTCCATGACATTTCCAGGTTTTCCCCTCCCCACACTTTCATCCCCTCGTCGTACGATCCAATCTCCCCGAAATATTTACTGTCAATGGCGTAGGCAGCTCCCACCATCACGGTACCGCTAAAACACCAAGAGATAAACAATATAAAAATAAACAATAGGATATATTCGTTTTTTAAAAATACAATTCGTAATTTTGAAAATTTTATTCTACTCTTACGGTCTGGTATCCGCCTCTGTTTTTCCAACTTGGTCTTGTCTAAAGAAAGTTTCAAAGAAAACCATTCTCCAATCAAAGCCGTATCGCGTCATATAACCGTCATTGAAGCGGTACTCCAGCGTTTCAGCGTTGACGTAATCCAGCACTCCCATGGCAACTGTTTTACGGTCCTTTTTAATCTCTGTAAGGAGCGGCTGTAACCTGTGAACACAGGAAAAAAGTCACGTCAAGAAATTTTATAAAAACCAAGTACATGTACATGTATATTAATGAAGTACAAGTACATGTAAAATACATGTTGAGATACATGTCTGTATCGAACACTGATATATCTCCGAAAAAGGGATATGTTATCAATATTTTTTTTCGAGATATATATACATGTCACGAGGTTTGACTGTACTTCAATTCAAAACAGGAGAATGAATTGGGTAAGGTTTAGGGTGATTAATTTTTCAAAAATGAGTCCAACAACATCTCTGTTTTATGTGGATTCTATAATCTGCTTCTTTCTTCTGAGGAAAATGGCAAGGAAGGGATTTGAGCGATTCGATTATAGCATGAACGTATTCAGTTAATATATGGCTACTTCCTAACGTTAATTGGAAGAAAATCTAATTCACAGTAAAATTGCAGATTTTTTTTAAATTTGCCAAATCACAGAAAGACGACAGACTCCAGTGTAACAAACTCCTTTATGTGACAAAACATGATTGTGTTTTCCTTCGAGGATAGAGTTCTTTTCCGTTATTCAACAGACATACCATAAAGGACTTAATACTGTATACTGGAATTTAAGAAAATAGCTTCTAGATTCGCTCACGAGTGGTTAAAATGTAATTTTCTAAATGGTTGAAATGTAATCTGTTGCATGGTTTGAGTGTAATCTGCTAAGTGGTTGAAATGTAATCTACTAAGTAGTTTTAGTAATCAAGATTAAAGATCCTTTGGAGCAGACTAATTGGAAGCTAAGCAAAATTGGACCCCTATAGCTAAAAACCTCAACATATTTACTGCAGTGTACGTACTCTCCATAAACATTTGTCGTAAAATTAACATTACAATTTAGTTATGACTTTGAGAAATAAAATCTGTTGTAAATGTATTTTATTTTAATTTTTGAATTTTAATGAATTTACGTAAATACCAGAATTAGCAGGACTCCAGGTAGAAGATGACACATGCAGTCGTCATCATTTACAGAAAACAAAATTAAAAGCACATGTGTATTTATTATGCAAAATTATAAAGTACATGTGTACGTCTATATTGGTCACAAATTTAAGGTGTTTCATTTTATGAATTGCTTATACACGTTTATGAAATGCGTTTTATTTAATATATTTAAAAAATGTTCACATTTCAATGGCAGGTCGATGCACACAGATTCGCATTTTTTTTCCTCACTCAGACCAGAAATCTAGTACGTCTAGGGATATTAGACAGATTAATGCACACAATATTTGTTCATTTGCGGTTGATACACTAAACGTCCCAAAGTGCAAAACTCCTTCTTCTCAATAGAGAAATTTCTAAAGCGGATTTCACAATTACTCGTATAATACCACTCTTCTAAAAATGTCATTTGTTAACTCCCCAAGAAGTAACCTGGCGAGGTTGACGGTGTTATCTTTTATACATACATTTGTAACATGTGCAAACGAAATAAAATCATTGTGCTAAGCAACAGATATATTTACATCCTCTTCCGTCTGCGCCCAGTACAAGATTTTAACTTTTTCCCTTACACAGTTATGAACCAAAAATAATATACCCTGTGGCCTTGAACTTGTTCGTGACCTTTGATCAAAGCCAACTTGATGTTTTAAAAAGCAAAATATGCCAGAAAAAGAATATTATTTTAAAATCTGGACATCGACGTTGAATAATGGTTAAACACTCAATAGTCATATTGACAATAATATAAGGCAATTAACCTTCAAATGATATATGATCAAAACTGAAGTACCACACATATACATGGTTGTAAGAGTGAATGGAAGCAACATTTTTCCTGATGTTTGATTTTTGGTGCATAAAAATACCATTTCACCATTGAATAATACATCCCCCACCCCCCACCCCAACCCCAGTAAAATATCGATGCTCGAAAAGACATCATAACATTTCTGTAAAAGAGACCATTGTTAATCTTGTCTTGTTAATACTGACCAGTTCTCGTTGACCTCCATGTGACTGTCAAAGAAGGACACGACTTGACCTTTGGAGATCCTCCACCCCTGGAGACGGGCTGCTATCAAACCCTTACGTTCAGTATTACGTAGAACCCGGATGAGACCTTTAGGAAAGTGTTTGTCTAAGTAGTCCTCGAGAGATTCTTTTAATTCAGCTGTAAAAAGAAATATTTTGGAAATGATAATGAGCGAACAATTTACAGGCTGGAGATTTTAAGCATATTAGACTAGAGATCCTTTGATCCGCTCACATAGATCTATGTTAACGGGTCTTAGGTTCTGAATACATAACTATAAAAGATAGTTACTCTGTCCGATAAAACTTGCGAATTTCAAAAGTAAGCCTTAAGCTAGAACTAAGATTGAATCCAACAGAAAATAAATTGCATTGATATTTAAACTGTTTGCATAAATTAAAAACGTAGACTTTAAGAGAACAAAGTAGATAAATATTACAAAACTTCTGAAGCTTTTGTTTGAATCATCCTCATCCAATATTAAGATTTGAAAGAAGTTAAATATAGTTTTTTAATCAGTTTTAGAAAATTCTGTATTAGTTACTGACGCATTGTGCTGGCGTCGTCGATGAGGATTATTTCCTGCAGTAAGTGTCGGGGTGTTCGATTGACAATGCTGTATAGAGATCGGAGAAGGACGGAAGGCCACTCGTCAAAGTACGGAATTATAATACTGGTAGTCGGGAGATCGTGTTCGTAAGTCCGACTCTTACATCTGAAATAGAAAATGAAATCACTTTGCTGTGATACAAAAACTTTAAATTAGTTTTACTTATGATAAAAATTATTTTTTTATCCTTTATATGATTATTTCATTGTGAAAACTGACTTCAGTAAGGGAGCAGCTCAGTCAGAAGCTTAGGAGGAAATTCAACATGCTGTATATGATATAATTCATATTGAGAGAGACACGCAAATGTTTGTAAGAATTGGGGATCGAGAAGGTTTTGACAGCAATCTTAAATTTTGAAAATTTATAATGCAGTTGTTAATACATATTGTGACATGACCCGGCGAGTTTTCCTTTGAAGTCAAGCATACTGTAACTGCGATACAGAACACTTTTTGTGGGCGTTTCTTATGCAAATGAACAGAAACTGTACTGTATCTGCAAAATATCAACGATACAGTACGGTTTATTTTTAGCCATGACGGAAAGCTGTATCTGTATAGACAGACACAAAATCGTTCAATTCGCATGATAGCACTGTTAGTATTTACTAAAAATTTGAGGTGAATTAAAAATAAAATTTTACAACGTAAATTTATTAGTGTCGGATTCAAAAATTTAAGAAAAGAGGGAAACAACTGATTACTTTGAACACCCCCCCCCCCCCCCCCCCAAAAAAAAAAAAATCAGTGAAATCGTATTTCGTGGGGTTAGATTTATAACCAACCAAGACACTATGTGCGTGATATCGTTACTTGTTGATAAATTAAAAAGCATATGTATACAAGTTTACCAAAAATCATTTACGAAAGCGAAAAAGAAAAAAATCAAGGAGGATGGGGGGGGGGGGCACCAGTGATTGCTCGGATCCCCTTTGGTTACACTACATTTTATTTAAAACATGAAGTTAAATATGGGTGGGTCCCCTTCCTTTCATCTATTTATTTCAATTTTATATTGACGACCGGAGGACATTTCTCGGACATTTCTCTCAGAATACGATCTCCCCGAAGCATTTTTGTTTCAAAAATATTCTGCATGATTCTTATATATCAAAATATTTTGCATTAATTAAGTCGTGGCTTAAATTAAAAAAAAATGTCAGCAAGAGCTGAAAAGAGAAAAAAAACACTACATAATGAAATCTAAATTTAATTTTTTTGGAGAACAAATTATATTATGCATCCCCTAAATAATTATTTTAAAATGATAAATACCTGCACGTCCACGTCACTCGGCATTTCAGTTGCGAATGCTTAAAATGGAATACTAAATCAACTTTCTGCAAAATCATCTGATTGGTTGAGTGATATGTACCCAAATACGCATGTAAATTAGTGAGGTCATAAGAAAGGTCATGTCACAAGTCATTTAGAATAATTTAGATACAGGGCGGGGCCCGGCTCGCTATCGCTCTCGTTGTAATACATATATGTACTCTAAATAATACTATGACTGCTTTCAGATCTTCGATATTTACATGTATCTCAATAATCTATATTATATTACAATGTAATTACTAATTTAGATGCAAGGCTGATTGGCATAGGCTGACTGTGCAAGCGTCCTTTTTGTCTCAACGAAACAAAACTAACCTCCGAAAAAGGGGCTATCGAAAAACAAATGGACAACTGAGAAAGAAACAGTATACACTTATTTAATGACTACGAGGTAAACAGTCAAAGTGTTGTCCCTCGGTAGTGGGGGAGACCTGGGAAACTGTTGCCCGAGGCCGAAGGCCGAGGGTCTTCCCCACTCCCCCACTACCGAGGGACAACACTTTGACTGTTTCACCGAGTAGTCATTGAATAAGTGTTTTATTACCTAACCTACTATATAATTAATTAAATTGTAATAAAAACACACAAACTATCAATATAAAGTTTTCTCAACTGTTTATTCACATACTTGTCTATTAATTAGCTAAACACATGATATAAAGATTAAATTAATATTTTTAATTTAAAAGTAATACTTAATAAATTGATTGTTTGTGTGTTTTATTTAAATTTGATTAATTATAGAGCAGGTAAATAGTGATGTCGTGATCATCAAAACGCTTGAATATCACGATGACGCTTTAAACAGGCAACAGTTCATTCTGTGGCCCGGTCAACAGTTCACTGTTTCATGATCACGCAAAAACATAAAGTAAAGCGTGAAACAGTTCAAAATGCCTTATTATAATAATTATATAGTAGGTTAGGAATACAGTACGAAAATACGTTTATCTTGATGATTTCCGAGACCAGTGCTTATTAAGCTTATGCTTGCCAAAAGAGGCATGGTTTTGTCATTATGATAGGACAACGCACTTTGCCATACAACACACAGCATTTTTGTTAGCTGCAGAACTCTCTCTGTTTGAGAAAATTCGGACAGATAAAGCAGAGAGCTACAGATCCAAGTGTTGTAAAAACCTTTGATTCATGCCGACGATTTTTTGTCGCTCACTATGGGTATTTTTCGCGTGTTTCATACTTTCCCTAGCGTTGAAAATAATTTTTAATGGTATTTAATAGTTAATCATACATTCAACCTCAATTCCTGATCATTTACTTACCTCCCAACGATAACAAATGGCTGTTTGTGGTTACGGACGTCGAAATGGAACTCTTTTAAACCGACATTACAAAATTATATTTAGGACTGTTTTGGACCAATAAAAGGTAAACAAAGTATCAAATATAAGAGTTAAATATATGAATTAGTATAGGATACCATTCTAAAAGCCAGAGAAAACTTAAGCTTCACAAAATAAAAACCTAAAGTAGCGACAAAAAATCGTCGGCGTAAATCAAAGGTTTTTACAACACTTGGATCTGTAGCTCTCTGCTTTATTTGTCCGAATTTTCTCAAGCAGAGAGCTACAGTTCTGCAGCTACATTTATGTGAAAATGTGGCCGTCAAAGTTGCCAGATCTCAATTAACTGGAGTTCAGAAAAGAAATGTTAGAGAAATCTATATACAGCACACTGTCCGGGCATTGAGAAGGGATCTTCATTGTTACATGTAGATAACAAATTGGAAAACGTATAGTACAAGGATACATTGTGCTCATGAAAAGTACCTGCGGAGCTCCAATTAACGTAACATGTATCAGCTGTGTATATGAGGGGGCCATATTTTATACTAGTTACTGTGTTTAAGTTGTGGACAATTTTTAAGGTACACAACATTGAGAAAATATTTTTTACATAATGTGTAGATAGATTTACGAATAAATCATTAAAAGAAGTAGGATAACTTTTTACATTAAAGTCTTGCAATTAAGAAATTCAAAACTATATATATATATATATCATTAACAATCCAAAACTCATGGAATGGGTAATTTCATTTTTACAAAGGGTACCAGCTATTTAACCCCAGGAAAATTCATAGACAACGAGGAAAATGGGCAAAATAAAAAATACTGTTGCAAACCTAAAAATAGGTATTAAACATGGTAAAACATGTAAATAATGTCTGTAATTTTACAATCTGTCTTGGTCGTACATATAATTATACATATGTAATGTTTATCGTTTTGATATCTGTACACGCATGATCATAGTTACATGCATATAATATTTATGTTCTATGCCTGATAGTCATATTGCTGTGAAGAACCCCTTGAAACATCTGTTTGCTGTTAAAATTATATAGCAGAAACCGATTTAAATTAAAGTATTCATTAACTTTGGCCAGAGGGAACGAAATGTTTTGATAAAGTCTCTTTTCTAATTTCGATTCAATTTCAATTCGTTTATCATGTTTATCGACGTTTTAAACTTCACTTATGCTGAAAATAATATCCTTGGGAAAAACGAAGTTATGAATATCAATATTCCCTGTTTATATGACTTGCTGATATTGAATTTCAATTCTAAAGGAAGATTAAAACACCGTTTACTGTATCCAAGCTAAACCTAGAAATGCGTTTGTCACGTAATAGGAATCCTCATATTGCCAACTCTTATTAAGGATACAGTCATATAAGATATGAAAAGGTTACAATTTCTTTCTAAACAAACCCTTAGTACTGAAAGTGTGGAAAAACGTTCTTTTTTTTCAAAAGACAAATAGGGGAAAGGGGGGGGGGTAAATGTAACGTTTGTAAGATGTTCTAAAAATTCTGTCTTGGTCTAGATCTTCGTCTTCTAAATTAAAAAAATAATAATAACATACAGAATTCCTAACTCATGGTAGATATAAACTCAGTCAGTCGAGATTATCGTTAATTGAAACAGACAGACACACAAAGTACTAACTCTGGCGGCCTTGAGTCGGGGACCAGCCTATTCAGTGGAATGAGGTCACTGGCCATCACATTGATGTTGTAGAGCTGCATTCTCTTCGCCGCCGCAGTCTTCTCCTTCCCCACGAACGTGACACCCCGCCCCATTTCCCCCGTCTTCGTGAGATCATTTTCTCCATAATCGTCTATAAGTGGATTTCCTGTTTTGAGTTTTGGATTTTGTCTATATTCCTCAGCTGTTATGGACACGATCACACCTTTTGAAACCTTGCCCTTGTCTTTTCGTGTGTCATTGCCGAGAATCGAACCAGATCTCGCAACCGACACAACGTCTGTTCGTTTTCTGGTCTTCGGTAGTCTAAGGAAGGAACCATTGCGAGACAAAATGTAAACCTGGTACGTACAAACCAACAGGATGACCGCAACACACGCCACTATATATCGGTACGTGAGGCGCATAGTCCATCAAAAGAACAATAAATTCCAGAGTAAAAAACACAGCCAGACTTCGCCGTCTGGCGTCACATTTTTTCTCTTTTCATTTTTCCTTTTCTTTCAATCACAGATTTCTAATTTGTTTACATGGCGAATTGTTTAAATCTCTATTACACATGTCAGACGAACACCTCGAGAGATTTACGGTATGAAATCAATGACCTGTGACCGGATGTCGTGTTATAATCCACCCGTAAAATTCACTGTTTTCTTTTAACTTCCTGCTGTCTGGTCAACCTGAAAAATAACAAATTGAACTGAAAAAAGAACTTTGACATTTTATAAAGTTCTGTAATATTTTTTTGACGCTTAAGTTATAATCTTTTTATAAACAGCAAGTCAAATGATTCTGATGGAGAGATAAGTTAACCCACAGAGATATGCATTTATCTTGGTACATGTAACTGTCGCAAATTTTCACAGTCTGGTTAAAATCATTATCTTTGATACGCTCTGTATAGCGACCATTAGCATTTCGGACCGTAACAAAGATTTTAATCAGATAGAATTGTTCATAGCTACTGTTGAGAATCCAGTTTATACACAGCACATTTTCAAACACATCTACATTACTGGGTATTAATTCAAGGAGTTTCCGCATTAACAGTGTCCGTACTTCCGGGACCATTCAAATAACACAAGTACATGGATATCCTCACTAAATGCCAATCGTACCGTTCACTTCCACTGATATAAAAACAACACAAAGAATAGAAACTCCTTTCTATTTAGCAAAGTATTCACTGTACCTTCGTAAAGGTTACAAATATTTTATGCAAAGTAGCCTTAAACTTTGTGGTTCCGTTTTCTGAAAAAAATTAATTGCAGCCACAGAAGTAATGCATTTATCTTGATAACTGTCACACAATTTTTTCACGCACTCAAACGTGAATCTTCTAAAAAAAAAAAAAAACCTAAAATTGCATAAGTATATGGTAATTGTTTAACATTAAATCTAAAGTTGTATTATAAATTGTTTATTAAATAACCTGTAACAAATGGTGTCATCATATTTTTTTTTACTCCGTAAACCAATGTCCATACATGCATAATGATAAATGTATACAATGCCATGTCCTTGTACATGGACTGTTGCATTGGACAATAACAGACAATAACAGAAATATGCTATTAATAATGAAAAAAAAATGTTAGGAAATCATTTTAACGATAATATTTTTATCATCGGAGCAAACACGTCACACGTCACTTCGCAAATCAAAGTTCTAAATCGGGAGGTTAATTATATATGCACATTATGGAATTTCATTCATACATTCTCGTTAGCAAACAAAACGAAGACGATAGAATGTTCTCTCGTATAAAAATCGCGTTGAAATTGATAGAAAAGGAGCCACTCATGTGTGTAACAGATTAATTTAATGGGAATGATTTGTCTTTTAACCTCACGTACGAAGAAATCTTACTTTTCTCCAGGGGAAAATGTCATCTATTACAGGTACATCTAATACATGTACGTTTGAACTTAACTTTCGATTATTTCATTTGAAAAGAAAAGAATTATTTTCTCAATTCACGTTTTGCACACGTACATTACGTCAAGTGCGTATATAATGGATGAGGTGACGGTGAATTTAACTTGCAAAGAGAATGGTCAAAAGGTTAGACAAAATAGATTTCATTAAAAGTTCATTATTTCCGATACAACAACAAAAAATGTACACACGTCGGATCCACATACCTTATCGCAGTTAATGAAGTCCCGAAATAGATAAACTAACCTGAGAGATCCTAATCAAGTCTTCACACGGGGCTGAGGACAGGCAGTCCAGCTGTCAAAATTCCCACTCCTCAACCTCTAAACCCGGACACTCAGCATAGTACAACATTACGGACAAGGCTATACCAGTGTTTAGGTTTAGATAACGATCTTACACTTAATGTAGCCCCCTCGTTAATCATCTAGGAAAGAACTCTGTGTTTCCTTTTTTTACTGTTTCCATTTACATGTACCGGGTCACGCTGAGAAAGTGTATATACAGTCTTAGTATATACTCATGTATACACACAAAAATATAAAATATAGCTAAGGTCATTTTGTTGACATCCTGTTTACCTGGCCACTTTGAATATATAACTAGGGACTTGCCAAATCCCATCGTCAGTTTATGAATAATTTCGCTTAATAAATAGCTATACGTTTCACATGGTAATTAAAAGGATGTAACAAAATAAGCATGGGTTGTCTAAATTTTCATATTAAAAGCAACTTTGAAAAATATTTCATTAATGAATCATGGTGAAATAAATGTATTCTCATTGTTTATTATCTATGGCATATAATGCCGGTTTTGGAAAACAAGTATTTTGTAATTGTCCATGTTGTCTTCCATCCAAAACCAACTTTTAATTTGCTTTATCAAAAGTAAATCAAGTATTATATATTTGACCAGTTCATGATTTAAAAAAAAATCCATACAAAATTCACTATTTATAAATTAAAGGATATGGCAATACAATATTGTAACATATACCCCCTCCCCATCAAATACATGTACAATTGTATCTGTAGGAAACTTTAATTCTTACCATGCTTAAGGTTAGGACAATATTTTAGAATGATTTTTTTAAAAACACAAATCTCCAAGCCAGTAAAGTTCCCGATTAGAAATTTGATGAGATAAGAAAAAAGAAGTGTATATAAGCATATGTTAAGTAGCATCGCGTGTGTGTAGGATCACCCTTACAAGTGTGCATTTATCACTAACGACGTTGCACTAACCGCATTGTACAGTTGTAATAAGCCGATAAGACGCCTGATCTCAATACACAATATAGCCTTGTTAGTAATAAAAATTTGTATGAATGGGGTCAATATGTAACTGTATCAGACCCGTACGTAGGATACCGCTTTCTATACAGTTTATGATGGTTTTCATAAATTTTCATAAGCATGATTGTTTTATATATAGCACTACGGACGAGTGTGGAAATTAAATCACAGCAAGAAATGATCCTAAATATTGAGTAAAATGTCTTACCTGTCCTTATGGTTTTCTACCTGTATCTTGACGTCCATTGTTTACTTTACAGATAAAAACCTCCGTGATGCAGTGCAAGAAGACCCCCACAAAAGTTAAAAATAGACAAGTGCATTTCCCCCAAAAAAGAGGGATCGTCTCAAAACACACTCACGCTATTACGTCCAAGAACAGCACATGGAAGGCAGGCAGACTTTACAACAACAAAAAATCAATAAAATGTGGAATTGCCCTATCGATTTATTCCACTGTCGTCAGTCTTTGCTAAAAGTAGGAGAGAAATTCTTATTGTATGAGAATGCACATTTTAACTTGTTCCACTCTGATAATGAAACTGCAGGGCTGTGCAAAAATTCGTTATCGAAACCAAAGTAAAGATTACCTTACTACATAAGCATGTGACTGACTGTCGTTTGAATGACAGAGTTGTAGTGTAGCTACATGTTACATATTAAATACTAGTAAATATTGCCATAATTATTAATTAATAAACCCCACAGCAAATCCAGAAAAGTTTTCTGATATGCCGAAAAAAAGACAAGTCTCAAAGAAATAAAATAATTCACACTGTTTCATGTATATTAGTTAGGGCAAAAAGGTTATAAAAAATAGTGGATTGAAAATAACGTATTTCCTAGCACACTTTCTGACAAGATTACACAGTATGTAATACTGAATAATCCCGGATTAAGAGGGGGCACAAAATCGCCCCCTTAGAACTTCTAAATTAACATAGGCCTGTTATTTCCAGGTAAATAGCTAGCTCGATCCAATTTCAATCAACAAATAAATATGAAGACATATGATAATTTGATTTTAAGACTTTCTGAAAACATGCTAGTAGGGAGGGAGAAAATTGACAAGCTTTCTCCATGAATAAGGGATCAGAGTACGTGCTATACATTTTAAATTAATATTTCAATTTTTTTTTCTCTCTCATCCAGAGCATGGGGACAACCATTCACCTCTCAGAAAAATAATATTAACATTTTAACGGGAAAAGATAAGAAAATACTAGTTTTAATCCTTAGGTGTAGATAAGCAAACTTTAAGGTGTTTTTATATTCTATTCTATGTACATTTTCTTGTACATGCAATGTATAGAAAGTAAAAGAATATATCAAACTTTTGGTCATCAATTAAGTGCCTGATCTCCCCTAGATAAAAGCTGGATTCATCCCAAACATTAAAAAAAATGAAAGAAAGATGTCAGGCTTACATTTTAAAAATGGGAAAATTTAAAATTAAATATATTGTTGCATATAATTTTGTATTAGAATTCAAAATTCCAATTCTTTGTTCATTTTTAATTTTTTTTCTATACATGTGTAACCACACAAAAACTAGATTGAAAAGGTACTAGTATACCCGGGTATAAAATACCATATGAAACCCACTCCCATTTGCTATTTTCTTTGGGTCTTTTTCTCTTTGGAGTTTGATTTTTCTTAAACTCAAAAAAAAAAGAAGAAAAAACGATGACACATATTTTTATTGAAAAAAGTTTTTGAAGGAGCAAAGAACTCAAGTAGGCCTATATTAAACATATCAACGCATATAAACTGAACGTGTACAAGGGAAGCAATTCGAAAATGATCCATGCTTTGCGTTTCTGAGTACCCGGCAGAGTTACCTTTCTTGCTTTGATTAGAAAATGAAAGTAGGAAATCTACCTGGGCAAGGTAAATATGACATCAACAATGAAGTAAGAAATTAACGATATTTTTATTTAAAAGGGGAAGAAATGAAAGCTTAGTCCAGTCTATACTACTCAGAGATGACCGAAGGATATCAGTCTGAGACCAACACCTGTTAATGGATGTCCATAACGTGGGTGCAATTGTTTGTTTTGTACATTTGTTCATTTTGTTGTATGTAATGAAACAGCATGGTACACACGTGTTATAAAGATTCATAACAAAACTCTTTAGGAAAATTACTCGTATAATTGTACTCAAGCGAAATGGTTAGAAAATGGATTACACAACAAATATACCGCAAAAAGAAAACTCTTTTACTATCTTCTTTGATCGTCGCGACTGTGTACATTGTGCTACTTATGAAAGGGGGGCAACGCGGAAGAGATACGGAGAATATGCATATCCCCATTCAAGCCGATGCAGTCTTCTTTACCAAAACACTTAAAGAAGAATCCCCATTTGAACAACTTTTAGCGAATATTTCCAGAGACCAGGGGGACCCCCGGAGGAAATATAAAATGAATGTTTTCCTCAGTGACCGAATCCCTGTTAACCGCCCAGTTCCTGATTCCAGACCTTTACGGTAATTTTTATTTTTGGTAAATCGAGGGTCTTGTTTTACAAAAGAACTTATACATGTATGAATAAGACCAACATGTAATTTAGCGAATAACTCTCTTTTTTACATTAATTTGAAACCTATATTTCAAAATATTTAATAACTTAAATATATATAAATGAAATATATATCTATGCAGACCATTTTGATATAAACCTTAATTTAATTTTACAAAGAACCTCAAGCTTTTTATTATAGTTATATTAAGTTCTTTTGTAAAATGGTTCCCTGGTACTTGTAAAACAAAATATACATACATGAAAGTTTAGTCCAGATTTAAAAAAACATATTAGATCAGATATATTTTAAACATTTTCCAGCTGTAGTGGAATGACATGGCCTCAGAATTTACCCAAATCTAGCATAGTGATCGCGTACCACAACGAGTGGCCGTCAGTGTTAGTACGTACCGTGTACTCCGTGATACAGAGAACCCCCGCGCACCTGCTGGATCAGATCATACTCGTGGACGACGCCAGTACTGGTAATCATCAATTGATAATTAAATTTGATTAATTTTTAAAAATATAATATTTTCTTTTAAATGGATATGTGCACTAAACTGAGTATTTTTTTCTCAATGATAGACGAAGTTAATAATTTGCAAAAATTGTCGAAAGATTCATCATGGTCATTATATAAAATGAACATGATGAATACTACAAGTAGTATTAAACCGGATTGTATATATTAGATGAAATATTCATTTGATTTAAAAACTTCAAAAGTTTATGAACAGCTCAAGAAAAAATAAATTCTTATATGTACGTGCATGCAAACACCTGTGTTTAGGTGACTGTACATCTATATGTTTTCTTTGGTGATATTTTTAAGACTTTATGTTATTTTTTACAGAACGAGAAACCCTTCAAGGCCCCCATTTCTTACAAACGTACGTGTCAAATTCTCCTATTACATACCTAAGACTAGAGCAGCGGCATGGATTGGTCCGAACCCGACTTTATGGGTTATCCCAGGTCAAGTCAGAAGTCGTTGTGTTCCTGGATAGTCACATGGAGGTCAACAATAATTGGTACAGTAATTAATTTTGCTTAATTATAATCATCAGAGTTAATTATAAACCACTACTGGGAAATATGTATCTTGATTCATCATAAAAAACCATTGATTGTGCTCAGATATACAGGTATTAGATATGCCACAAGGCCTTTTCTCTATTGATGCGTGTAAAAGTTTGTATAAAGCTGATGAATAGACCTACCTGATACTGATTTATTTAAAATGGTCGTATTTCTTTGATGTTATGCCTGATGTACATATTATATAAATATTGAAGTAGTTGAATGTAACATTGAAATTTTTTTACTCTCGAAAACCATTGTCAACGTAGGCAAATTCAAAGAGTCTTGCCACCAGAACACTTTCTTCCCTAATATTCTTAAGGAGGAACGCCATACCAAAATGTTATTTCATAAATCTTAAAGTCATCCCTTTAATAAATTGTTTCAGCATTGAAAGAGCTAGGCTAATGTCGGCCTTTCAGTGCTGACACCGTAATTTAGTAAGGATGTCTTAATGATATATGAAATCAAATTTTGGTGTAACATTCCTTCATAAAACAATATCACAGTATCAACATTTTAGAATGCATGTAAACTTATCCTGAAACCTACAACAACCGATTTTTGGTGTCCGAATTTTTTTCTTCAAATTTTACTAAACGTGTTTGCAAGTACATCGTGATTTCGCTTTCCAAAATTTTCATGTAGTTTAAACTTTGTCCACCAATTAAAATATTTATTTTGAAAGTCACAAACTAAAGGTACTTGAACTTTTAAGGTTGCAACCTTTGTTGGTGGAAATCATGGACAACAAAGCAACAATTGCAATGTGTCACCTTGATTACATCGACGCCAAAACTTTCAAATACTCACACGAGAGGAACTATCGAACACGTTACGGTTTTGATTGGCAGCTACATTTCTTTGAAACTTACTTCCGGAGAGATCAAACAGAAGGAAAACCGGATACTGCATCTCTGCCGTAAGTTGCCTGTCAGTTTATATTTTTGTTGAAATGCCACATAATCATGATAATGCGACTTAAAATTGATCCGGATAATTATGCAGTTTTTTTTTACTTCGTCACTATAATGCTGAATACTTCTTTCAGAATGAAAATTTTAACTCGGTATATAAAACACGAAGCAATGATATAAAATATATAGATAATTTACGAAAAAACTGCATGTGAATTTCAGAAATGAACAATTTAATAATTTCTTATTTATTGTTATTATTTTTTTTATCATTAATATACATCCAAAAATGTATTTGGAAGTAAGATACGAAAATGAGTGTATTTGCCATTTTATGGTTTACAGATGCAGCTTTAATGGTATATAATAAAGTAGTACCGTGTTCTTAACTTAGTTTAGTTCTGTTAAGGTGTCTGATAAATGTATACGCTGTACAAAGAAGATAAAGACCATTCTGTGGTATTTTGCATCGCCATTGGCTGATCCTAAGTAGGAACCAAAATTAAAATAAGAAAGAAAAATGTAAAAAGAGACCTACCTATATATGTAGGAGAAAGGTAAACTAAGAATTTATTCTAGCAATTCTTATTTTCGTCAACGATGTTAATTAACGAGGCCCGATATAGTTGAAAATTACAAAAACGGAATGATAAAAAATTTTAATTCTTAGAAATATACTTGTATGTTTTATGCTTAGAAAAATTAGAATGAAATTTTGTTACCTTGCCTTTATTGTAGTGAAATGGGGGCACTGTCAAGATATGGACCATTTTTCGTGTTTTCATACACAATTACATACTAAAACTCTTCAATAAACAAAGAAATTTACAAATTAAAAAAAATACATGATGAAATTCTTTGTTTTTCACATATATCATGCAATTTTCATTTTTCTTATAAAAAATGAAAGAAAAATTGGAGGTAGCCTTTATTGCAGTGAAAAGGGGGCATGTCAAAACACAAAATTTGGATTTATTCTATCCAACTTCGTATTTTATAGGTCGCAATGGGTTTACATAACGCCAACAAACGATTACAATAATGTATTAGTTTCTAAAAAAATAAATAATTCTTACATTATGAAATAATTTTCTCGCCATGTTTTATTTTTCTCTTAACACTCGACGTTGTTTTACATGAAAAAAAAGGGGTAGAGGGAGGAGGGGTGGGGGTAAGGGCGACAAAATTGCAATTACTAATATCATGTAATATATAGAAAAATAAAATATTTCGGCGGTTGATGATGATTTATTTTACTTTTTAAAACTGAAGATAATCCATGCATATTTAAGTCCGCAATAAAAAGAGTGTGTATAAACACTTCAACATGTTCAAAGAGAAAGACTAATATCGTTTACTTTTAGTTGCAGTGTTTGTTTTTTAAACTCGTAAATTGAAATAAAACAGAATAAAATTAATGAATCTGTACCAAAAAATTAATCCCTCAAAATTAATTAGGTTCCAAAGTTGTTTATTAATTTGAATATCTAAAAAAAAAAAAATAATAGAAATGCCAGCTTTCAATGCATATTCTATAGAGCTACCAGGTAAGCAAGATCAGCGAAACATTTTAGCGCAATTTGACGTCATTTTAACTGTGACGTTATTGTGTTCAATTGTGACGGCAGTCAAGGGTATTGTGACGTGCCTGAGTCGACGCTGCGTTAAAACGTGTGCGCAGATCAAGTAGATCGGGCCTCGTTAAGTTTCAATCCAATTCGACTTAAATATTAATATTTTAATCTGTTCGATCAAAAGATGTTTTCAAAAATGAAAATGAAATTTTATTCACTGTAATTATTATATAGCGAATTGATTTTAAAGGAACTCTGTACGATGTTTTGTAATATACTGATAAAGATTTTGTGAACATACCCCAGAACAAAGTGGTCTTTATCTTTTTTGGTCCGGTCTTAGTATCTACTTGTTTTACATGTATAAGAAATACGTCCAGGTCTAAGTGGTTGCACATCGAATAGTTTTGCAATTTGAGATTGTATGTATGATCATTTAAATTTGAAGGTTAGAGCTTATTATTACATTTACGTTTTATGCTTATTAATATTGACTTATTATTGAGCTCAAAGGAGTAAACTTGTACTCAGGAAATATCCCGGTGATCTCCCCTTAACTTTATCTGTGTTATATACTTATTGTCATTTAATAAATGTATGTGTTTGTTATATTTCAACTTTTGCGGTACACATATAGGGTTACATAAACTTAGTTACTAACACTTGATACCTGTATGTGCTACACATATAGATGTACCTTGAACTGTCCTAGAAACGCTATGATTGGTGTCTGCATGGCCATCTTTCATCATGTATCATGTATAAAGTTCTTTGATGTATGTTCATGGAATAACAGATGGATCTAAACAGTCTTTTTGTTTTTAAAGGTAAACTTGAAATTAAGTTAAAAACATTTGCAAACATCAATACTGATATGTAAACATTAACTTTTAATATCATTGTTGATATTTTTTTAAAGGAAATACTAGAAGCTATAATAAGAGTTGTTCAATGGATATCCTAGGCTATTCATGATCAGTATATACATGTGTATACTGTTACTAAATCTTTTCAGAGAAACTTCAAAAATACGACTGTTCCTTTACATGAATATAGGTAGTAATTTAGAACTGAAGATAGTAAGTAAACATAGACTTCGGACACAAATTGAAGGGGGGGGGGGGTAAAAGTGAAAAGGGGGGCTAAACAAACAAAAAGAGCTAAACCCTGATTTTTAATGCCTTTATAATGTCTATCTTTGCTAGAAAGAGAGCAGTCTGATTAAAATCAAATCCTTGTTCCTTTCCGAAATTTTGATGACGCTGTACAACGTCATCAGAATTTCGGAGCGTAACAAAGATCTGATTTTTATCAGACTGGAAAGGTAGGGAACTTAACCCTCAGCTCCCTCCCTCGGTTTCGACGCCTATGAGTACAAACACATACTGGATACAGTTTACGTGTAAATTTTATACACAAAAATTGGCATTTATTATTTGCAGTAAACGTGGAGTGTTCACATTTGATGACGGTGGCATAAATACGGGTAAAGCATTGTCTTAGGATGTTCATTGCATATCACATATTCATATGGAAACCCTTATCATCACTAAGGGCGAAATTTTAATTAACAAAAAATACATCAAAACATGTACATAAATTTGGCTACGTAGTATATAAGTTCATAGATATAAAGATAACATTTTACATGTTTTAATGGAAGGACGTTTTAGCTCTTGTTATTAATTTAACACAAAAATATGAACTATATCAGGTATGGACATGCGGGGGTCGGCTCATCCATGTAGCATGTTCAAAGATCGGTCATATTGCACGTGACCAGCCATACAGTTTTCTCGAAGATAGGAGCACCATAGAAATATACAATTACAAGAGAATTGTGGAAGTGTGGTTTGACGAATACAAACAATATGTGTATCAAATCTATCCAACTATGAAGGTATATATCAATGTTATTTTTTTTCAACGTATCGAAAGGATCGAGAACAAATTAAAGAATCATTACTTGTTTCGTGTGTAAGGATACCTAAAGATAGCTCGTTTGTCAAATTTTAATTTTTTTTTTAAAAGATACATCAAAACATGTTCATAAATTTGGCTATAGTATATAGGTTCATAGATATAAAGATAACATTTTACATGTTTTAATGGCCAAGGTTAAAGATTGTAAAAAGTTTCAAACTCTAAAATCAAGGTCAAAGAGTCAAGGTTGTTATTTGTGAATTTAACACAAAAATTATGGTCAATATTTTAATGTAGGTATGGTCAAGATCAAAGGGTCAAGGTTCTTGGTATCCAATGAAAGGTCTTTTCATCAAGATTATATATGTGAAGTATGAAAGTCCTAGTATTTAATGTTCAAAAGTTATAGCCAAGGTTAAAGTTTTTTCATAGATACAAAAATCTCCAAGGTCAAGGTCAAGAGGTCAAGTTTGTTGGTATCCAATGAAAGGTCTTTCCACAAAAAATACATATATCAAATATAAATGTCCTGGTATCTATTGTTCAAAAGATATGGCCAAAGTAAAAGTTCAAAATTTTTGTGTTAAATTTGGTTAAACTCCAAGGTCAAGGTCATATATAATTACAAAAGACATGTGAAATATGAATGTCATAGTTTATAGGCAAGGTTAAAGTTTTTGAAACAGACAGACAGACACAGACAACAATATGTGTATCAAAAACTATATACAACTATTTGACTGCATATATATATCCAGATAGCTAGTTTTTTTAAAGAGACAACCATATGAATCATGAAACAAGATGTGTTTGTGAAACGCTATGCGCCCGGCGGCAACAAAGTTTAAAAAAACACATATATTTAGCATATAGGTCACAGTCAAGGTCATTGACCTTGGTGTCATGTGAAAGGGCTTAATCAGTGCATGTATTAAGTCTCTATACTTCAAAAGTTATGGCAAAATAAGGTTTGCTCAAAAAAGTTATGTTTAGCAAAGAGATCAAGGTCACAAGGTCATTGAACTTGGTGTCAAAAAAACTTAATCAGTGGTGTATGCATTTATGACTGTTTCAAAAGTTATGGCGAAGGTTTAGGCATATAGACTGTCAGGGTCATTGACCTTAAAGTCATGTGAAAGAGCTTAATCAGTTTTTACCAAAGAGATCATTCACCATTATGTCGAAAAGTTTGCAGACAAACAGACAAACAGATAAACAGACAAAAAAACAGGACAAAAACAATATACTGCGAATATAATGCGAATATTGAGGTAGAGGCACATGAATTAAAGTTGTAATTAAAACTTTATATGATCCGGTTAATATAATCTCAGAAATTAAGATTTACCACCATCATTCGTTTACAGTGTATCACTTTCTAAAAATTACTCTTATTTGCAACCGACTGAAAAAAAAGAAGTCGGCAGGATATTTCGGAAAAAATACAATAAAGTTAAAAATTAAGCGACAATTTTAATCTCCAAACATAAAATATCCCTTTATAATTATAATATTTGTTGAAAGTTTACAAGTTACCTTTATAAAAATTAAATGCTTAATTCAATGTAATATAGGATAATACTATTTTCTATTAAGCAAATGCATAGAAATACTGGTTTTTATGATCATTATATGCCTGACCAACTTGAATATTCATAAAATGTAATATAGTATGATGAGATATATTTATATAATATTATATAAATATTGCATGTAGTTGGGTGTAACATTGAACATTTTCACCCCAAGAAAACCATTGTGTTGACTGTTGCTACGCAGGAGGGTGTGGCTTCATTATTCAGCGGGTAATAGTGTTTTTTAAAAATGTTTCTCGACGAATCAGATTCAAGTAATTTACATGAAAGTAAATATAAGCGTCCTGCGTAGCAACAGTACCGTTCACAAAAAAATGGCGACTGCGCAGAATTTATGCGCGCAACTGTGCACAAAATATAATAAATATTGGACCGTACCGTAACCGTTCACAAAACCATTGTCGAACCGTGCACAAAGCGTAATGAACCGCATACAATATTTAGATAATAACAGACCCTAAAACGTGCTATTACACCTAAAAAAGAAAACGAACAGAACCGTACCGTACCATTCACAAAACGAAACGAACTATGCACAAAACGAACCGTACCATTCACAAAACGAAACGAACCGTGCACAAAGCGAAACGAATCGCATACCGTGCAAGTGGTATAGTTTAGGGTCTGTATAAAGATTTCTATTCTAGATCCTAAGCCTTGAAAGGAAAAATAAAATACCAAAATCATCGAAAAATCAGTCATTATACATGCATGAGTGGTATATATGCCTATGTATGTGCTACTCATTATTTTATTATCGACTGATTTTGTTACATGCAGCTGTTTTTGTTCATAAAATCAGTCTTTATTTTTGTTACTAAGGATGCAGATGCTGGGGATATAAGTAAAAGGCAAGAAATCAGAAGAACATTAAAATGCAAACCTTTCTATTGGTTTCTCCAAACAGTCTGGCCAGAATTACTCCCATACCAGCATAATTCCAAAGTCTGGGGTAAAGTACAGGTGAATACAAGAATTTATCCACGTCGTCCTATAATCTTGTCCAACTTAATGTTACATATGCGCGATTTTGCTTGGATTTGCCTATGATTTACATGTACATTATCTTTTTCAGACTGACATGTTGGCACGGAAAATATGCTTGAATAATAATAAGTATCTATTTTCGTGGCCTGAGAAATTGACAGTGAGACCTTGTCAAGAGGACCCAGTGACAGAGGTAAGTTATCGACAAATTATCGGTCAATTGTTTCCCACATCTGTACTTTTGTTATAAAAAAAAATACGGATTCTGACATAATAGTTCTTCAATTATTTTCCAGACCTATAATGTTTCAGGCTTGCCATCTGTCGCCTATTATCATATAGAATGTCAGCAGATTACTTTATCATAATATCATTGTTTTCTTATATTGTTTTTTAGTATTATAATTAATTTAGTGTACTTTACTTGTGTGCATAGTTTTTGGTAAGCATACCGGGTATTTAAACAGTGTTCTTAAATAAAATGGAGATTGATTGATTTAGTACTGTTTATTTTTAATCGGAAGTTATATTCTTTTTTCCTGAAAGTTAAATTTTTATGATAAAGCTCGTCTGTTTAGAGTCATTGTTAGAACTAGATCTCTCAGGATTTAAATGCTCTAAAGATTAAAAATGTCCGCCTCTTAATTTTGACCGAATGTAAATCTTATGTTCTCGGTCCCTGGCTTTGAAACCGAGGTATTACGCAGTAAAGGGGTGAAGAATAATAAAAACGGAAGTAAATTTCAACACGAACATCTGGACCGCCTGAGAAACATTTCAATTTTTTAAGTTACCAAGCTAACCTTTCAGAGACACATTAGACATGTGTTCTGCTGCAGAACCGTCTATGTAGGCAAGGACCTTTGTATCTTTAACTACCAGAGATTTTGCGTTTTTACTGCAAAATTGACTAAAAAATTTCGAATAGAAATTTAGACATTTTCTGTTTTTACATATAGCAACCTATATATTTTCTGAAAGGTAAAATCCTAAAGTATTTAAAGGTTTAATTTATTTAAAAACAATTTAAGTTTAGGATTAAACCAGTCAAGAGATTTCAAATTTCAAAGGTCTCTGGTACGGTTTTATCTTTAGGCTATTATTTTAACTGTAGCCGGAAGTTGCTGTATCCTATGTAAATTAAGATGGCGTGAGGAAAATTTCAGCTTGAAGGAATAAACGAATGTTGTATACTGAAGGTTGTCTGAAACGATTTATAAGAAAGGGAGAAAATCTCTAGAAGCGAACTAATCAGGTTTAAGTTGTTTATGACTTATTAATTAATAAAAATACGTTAAGTGGGTGTGTCTGAAATCGAGTCAGATACATGTTCCATGTGAAAAATAGAAGTGGGGATTACACGTGTACGAAACAAGTGCCCGTTTCAGTCTTTAACTCACTTTGTTAAGAACATGGTACAGTTTATAACATATCACTATTGAATTTAGCCACAGGTTGTATGTTTGATGTCCCCTTCTTCCATGCAGTGTACGGAAATTTTAGATTGAAATTGAACTTCCATTGGACTGTTTTACTCCTGCTTTATAGATTTTGTTGCTCCCACGACTCTTTACTATAGTTTAAGATATATAAAGTTTTTAGAGTACATGACCGGTGTTTGTTCCAGGTGTTTGCCCTTACAAATAGTGGTCAGTTACGGACAGTTCTTCAGTGTGTTGTGGTGATTCTAGATGGTCTGGACTACGTACCCCATCTACAGAGTTGTCCGGAAGTTAGAAACATTTCTGTCACACAGTGGTCATACGAGGTAAGTATTCAAAAATATTGTATTGTATTGCTATAATTTTGCACTATCAAAAAGAAATACATACAATGATAGATAGACATGAAAGAATTTTGATGTACATGTACAGCTGAAGAAGAAAAAAAAATATGATGGTTTAAATTTCATTTGTTTCCAGTATTAGCTGTATATATAATTATGAAATGAAACCCATTAAACTATTAGATGCAATTAAGTTCGAGTAAGATAACTAGTGTATACAGTAGCTGATTGACTTGCGATTATGCACAATTGATCTGCACGTTGTAAACGTTGAACCTGGTTTTGCAAGAGCGATCAACCACGATCTTTGCGATCAGTCGTAGTTCTCTCAACTATTTTCCTGTGTTTTGGTCGCAGCCAGGTTGGACTTTGGTCGTGTGAGGACCAGAATGTATTTTCAGATAATTTTTTCTATATAGTTCCAGGTCCTTAAACATGCTGCTACAGCTCTGTGTTTGGAAGTATCAGAGACCGGTTTACATCTCGTCATGAATACCTGCGACAGATCGAACAAACGTCAGAAATGGGAATTCAAAGGTTTTCCAGAAAATACTAGCTGAACATTTTTTAATCAGTTTAATCAAGAGAAATCCAGAGATGATGTATATTTCTTTGAATTATCAAAGATTCTTCGAGAGAGAGAAAGGTGTATCCAGAAGAATACTGTAAAAGAATACATGTAGTCCCGTCGGAGAAATCCATGATATATCTGTCTTTGAGAGCAGAGAGTCCCAGATTTTAATAACATAAAAAGTATACACGGATGTGGCTTAGACGGAGTGTTCACGATATCTATGCAGTTTTTTTTTTATAATAAGCAACGATATGTTTAAATTATTTTTAAAGATGAGACTTGTGAATACACAGTGGAACCATTTGTTCACCAGTCATTTTATGATATTTAAAATGGAGTACTATGTATTTCGTTTATTTCAGTTAAAGTGAAATACCAGTTGATTATTGTCAATACATTAAATGTATATATATCAAAATAAAGAAAACAAAATAAAAACTACAGTAGTGTGTATTTTAATTACATATCATCTTTGAATTGCAAAAAAAATCATTTTCCCATCTGTTTTTATTATATTTTTGTAATTTTGAATTATTATCCTATTACATAGATAGCATTGTTTATTTTTAATTACATTCTCGTGTTTTTTTTTTTTTGTGTGTATGGTTTTGTCCACATGTAATAGATTTAATCTTTTAATTTGTGTGACAATGCAAGGACTTTTTTACGTTAAGAAATTTGATGCAAAGATACCATTATATCGACGAATCCTTCACAGTTTTAATCAATGTTTGGATTCATTTAAATACTTGTCATCTTAAGCCATTGTAAACAGATGCTATAAAGTGTTTTTCAATAGAACAATCATTATTCAACAAAGTTGAAAAACCGCCCCCTCATTAACACGAATTTTCTAGCATCCAATGGTTTTGATATACAGTCCAATGGTTTTGATATATAGCCACAACCATGCAATCGCCCGCGTGGCGCAGTGGTTAAAGCATCTGTTCTAGAGTCGCGAAGTAACTAGCTGATCCTTACATCGCAGGGTTTTTTTTTGTATGTAGTCCATCTGTCTGTCCGTTTGTAGAATTTTTTTTTTTTACATTTTTGGTTTTATTCTCCAGAACCACTGGGTCAATTTCGACCAAATTTGTTTCAAGCATTCTTGGTGAAGGGGTTTTTTTAAATGATGAATCCTGGGGGAAGGATGGGGTCACGATGGGGAATATTTTTTTTATATATTAAAATATTTAGGGGGAAAATGTTCTCAAGAATAGCTAAGCTTGAGATGCAAGAATTCTTAAGATCAGGTAGTGTAGATTCAAGTTTGCTCAAATTATATGTAGATATATTATTTTCTTTTTTCGCCCATCTTTTTTGTACTAAACTGGATAATTTTGCGCAATTTTTGCCTCCAAACTTATGCATGATAGCTTCAAAATTCAAAATTACCAGATAGATATGACGACGCATATTTCTAATAATTCACATGTACTTTTAAAGAAATAATGCATACGCAATTTACTTGTAGTTTGAATTTGATTGTCTTTTTCCCATGAGTTGAAGAGTTCCAATATTAAAAGGAACTGTGTGCTACCTTTCAATGTCTATTTATGCATGTCTTTTATAACAACTTTGTATAAACAAAACATCAAGAATATTTTAAGTAAATTCAGTACATTATGTTCCCCAAACGGAGTTTGGGAACATATTGTTTTTACTCGGTTTCTTATTATTATTATTATGTTCCCCAAACGAAGTTGGGGAACATATTGTTTTTACTCTGTTTCTTATTATTATTATTCTTATTCTTATTATTATTTTTCTTCCTGGGAAAATTTTGTACGCGAGTGTTCTTGTAAACTACACATCCGACTTAGGTGAAACCTTTTTAGGGTAAGTAGGCATGTTATGTAGATTTGCGGAATCAAGGTCATTTTCCGCGCACGTGCTTGCAAGAGCGCGCACGTTCAAAACTTAAAATGACCAATATATAATGGAATTTAACCGTAACTTTTCTATTTTGTGACGAAATGTTTTGAAACTTATAATGTATATATTATAGTATGCACAAGATGACATGGTCAAAATAGCAAGATCGCACGCGCATGCACGTGCGCTTCGCTCTGATTGGCTGAAACTAAAGTTTCAATATCATTTTTTGTTTTTTGATAAAATCCTTTGAAATTTTGAACATAGTCATACATAAGGGAGGTCTACAGCCTGTAATATAAGATTTATCATGAAAGCATGTGCATGCACATGTGCTTGCAAGAGCTCGCACGTGCAACACGAGAAATGTCCAATATAATTGATACAGACGTAACTATTTAAATTATTGATGAAATGCTTTGAAACTCATATTATAAGTATATATTAGAAGCATAGACAAAATGACATGGTCAAAAAGTAAGATCTCACGCGCATGCACGTGCGCTTCGCTTTGATTGGCTGAAACTAAAGTCTCAATATCTCTCTTGTTTCTTGTCATAATCCTTTGAAATTTTGAACATAGAACTACGTTATGAAGATCTACAGCATGATATATAAGAATTTTCATGAAAGCATGTGCATGCCCGCGTGCTGCAATCTTTTTTAAATGGCTATATCTCCTTTGTTTTTTGACGAAATGCTTTGAAATTTAAAACATAGTCATGCATTAGGATATCCTACAACACGAAATAGAAAAAAATCATGAAATCACGCGCATGCACGTGTGCTGCAATCTGATTGGCTTAAACTTGAAATGGCTATAACTCCCTTGTTTTTCAACCAAACAGGATGGGATTTAGAATATAGATAGATATAAGGGACTCCTACAAGAAGGTATGGTCATCATGCACGTGCACGCACGTGCGTGCATTTGGAACGAGTGAAATGAAAAATACATTTGAAAGAGTGATTTTTCATACTTTTGGACTGAATGCTTTAATATATTGTATACTAAAATATATAGATAGTGTAGACAAGATGATATGATCATAATGCACATGCATTCACATGCGCATGGGTGCAATGCTAAAATTTGAATATAATTGGTATCCTTCTAAGAAAACGTTGTTAAAGTGAAAAATGCACAGAGTTTGTCTTCTTTAATGAAGCTTACGCGGAATATGGCACCAAAAAGGAGTTGGGGAGCGTTTGGGGAACATCTGTAACGGTTCCCGTTACAATTAGCACTAGTTATTATGTTCCCCAAACAAAGTTGGGGAACATATTGTTTTTACTCTGTTTCTTATTATGTTCCCCAAACGAAGTTGGGGAACATATTGTTTTTACTCTGTTTCTTATTATTATTATTTTTCTTCTCGGGAAAATTTTGTCCGCGAATGATCTTGTAAAGTACACATCCGATTAAGGGGAAATCTTTTTAGGGTAAGTAGGCATGTTATGTAGATTTGCGGAACGAAGGTCATTTTGCGCGCACTGCTTGCAAGAGCGCGCACGTGCAACACGTGAAATGACCAATATGCTTGAAATTGCCGTAACTTTTACATTTTTCGATGTAATGCTTTGATATTTAGAATATATAGACATATTATAAATGTAGATAAGATGACATTGTCAACATGCAATTTTGTGTGCACGTGCTTGCAAGAGCGCGCACGAGCAACACGTGAAATGACCGATTTAATTGATATAGGCGTAAATTTTTACCTTTTTAATGAAATGCTTTGAGACTCATAATATAATGATATAGTAGTAGCATAGACAATATGACATGGTCAAAATAGCAAGATCTCGCGCGCATGCACGTGCGCTGCGCTCTGATTGGCTGAAACTAAAGTCTCAATATCTTTCTTGTTTTTTGATGAAATCCTTTGAAATTTTGTACATAGCCATGCATTTGGATATCCTACAACATGATATATAACAATTTTCATGAAAACACGTGCATACACGTGCGCTGCAATCTGATTGGCTGAAACTTTAAATAGCTATAACTCCCTTGGTTTTCAATCAAACAGGATGGGATTTGGAACATAGATAGATATAATAGACTTCTACAAGAAGGTTTGGTCACCATGCACATCCATACACGTGCGTGTACGTGCGCTGCAATCTGATTGGCTGAAACTTTAAATAGCTATAACTCCCTTAGTTTTCAACCAAACAGGATGAGATTTGGAACATAGATAGATATAATGGACTACTACAAGAAAGTATTGCACATCCATACACGTGCCTGTACGTGCGCTGCAATCTGATTGGCTGAAATTTTAATCAGCTATAACTCCCTCGGTTTTCAACCAAACGGAGTGGGATTTAGAACATAGATAGATGTAATGAACTTCTACAAGAAGGTATGCCACCATGCTCATGTATGCACGTGCGTGCACGTGAAATGAGTAAAATCAAAAATACACTTGAATGAGCGTATGTTTTAATATTTTTAGATTAAATACTTTAATATTTAGTATATTAAAGTATATAGATTGTGTAGACAAGATGATATCGTCATTACGCACATGCATTCACATGCGCACGCGTGCAATGCTAAAATTTGAATGAACTTGGTACCCTTCTGGGTAAACGTTGTTAAAGTCTCAAATGCATACAGTTTGTCTTATTTAATGAAGCTTACAGGGAATATGGCACCAAAAGGGAGATGGGGAGCGTTTGGGGAACATCTGTAACGGTCCCCGTTACAATTAGCACTAGTTATTATTATTATTATTCTTTTTTCTTCTTATTTCTTCTCCGGTACTTTTTTGTCCGGAAGTGTTCTCAGAAACTGTTCACCAAACTAAGTTAAAACCTTTTTAGAGTTAGTAGGCATGTTGTGTAGATGTGCTGAACGAAGGTCATTTTGCGCGCATTCGCATGCACGTGCGGGCGCGTGCAATGAGTAAAATGACCGATATATTTAATATGGCTGTAACTTTTATATTTTTTGATACAATATTTTGAAACTCATTATATAAAGATATATAAGATGTGTAGAAAAGATGACATGGTCAAATTTGCATGAACTCACGCGCATGCACGTGCGCTTTGCTCTGATTGGCTGAAACAGAAATCTTAATATCTTTTTTGTTTTATGATGAAATGCTTTGAAATTTATAACATAGACATGCATTAGGATGTACTACAATTTTTTCATCACATCACGCGCATGCACGTGCGCTGCAATCTGATTGGCTGAATCTTTAAATGACTATAACTCCCTTGGTTTTCAACCAAACAGCATGAGATTTAGAACATAGATAGACATAAAGGACTCCTACAAGATAGTATGGTCACAATTCACATGCATGCACGTGCGTGCACGTGTGTTTCGCTCTGATTGGCTGAAACAAAAATCTCAATATCTTTTCTGTTTTTTTTTTCGAAATGCTTTGAAATTTAAAACATAAGCATACTTTGAGATGTCCTAAAATATGATATATAAGAATTGTAATGAAAACACGCGCATGCATGTGCGCTGCAATCTGATTGGCT